AATTTTTATTTTATATATGGTGCCAAATATATAAAACAAAAATACATAAATAAATTAAAATCAGTTATTTTTGTTTCCTATATCTAATATATTTTATCAACCTCACTAGCCTAAATTAGGTATTGTCTTTTATATAGAATCCTTTTATTTTAATAAATTTTAAATATCATTTTATAAACTATTTGTTTTCGTAAACAGTAATTCTAATTTTAATATTTAAATGATTTTTAAATATTCATATATCTAACAATTCATTGTTTGTTGTAGCTGTTGAAAAAAAGAAGAAATAAATTTAATATAATATATCAAATGTCAGTTATTTTCTGACAGGAGAATTAGTGCTTCCTTGTGGATGGGAGTGAAACGAAATCATCACATGGGGTTTTTTGGTAAAGAACAATAAAAGTTTCTTTGTGTGTGCGGTTTGGAGTGAAGAAGACATTATATTGGATGAAGACGGGATTGATCGGGAAGATTTAGCAATTTAATGATTATCGTTTATGATACTTAGATATATTTTATAGATTTTTGAATGAATAAATTGGGTTTAGATATTTGTATGAATAAATTGGATTTTTAGACTATATGGGAACTTGGACTATTTCTAGTTGGATTGTTTTGGATTGATAAGTTATATTTTTAGAGGGAAGGATCGAGAGTAAGGGGCATTTTTCTATAATAATACTATTTTTCCTTTCTTTTTTTAAAAAAAATTAAATATGAAATAAGTAAGAATGATATATTTTGGCATTATGTCAATTAGGAGAGGTGTTAATTCAACGCGGCGACAATTCGGCGCGTATCTAATACAGTTGCAATTTATTATAAATTTATTGCATAAAAATAGAATGATTAAATAGAAGTCATTTTGAATGTTGGGCAAAAATCTCAATTTTATTTACTAACCAATAAAAAATTTAATAATATCAAAAAAAAATTAACAACCAATATTTTTACCTCTTTCTTTGCTGGACCAATTTACCACATTATAAAATATGTTGATTAGTAGCGCACCGAATTTTCCCCGCCGAATTGATGTGGAAACATTTATTTTAAAGATGTCTTGTCATGATTTCGGATATGCCATATACCTAATATAAGCCATTCTGAATTGATTAAATTTTACGAAAGATATGGACTTCAATTTTGATTCTTTGAAATAATTGTTAATATTATTTGTGTAGGATGACATCATCTAAATATCTGCTTGTTTGTGTATTATTAATTTGTAATAAACTAGGAAAGTGTCAATTGTCATTATTATCATTTGTGATCCTAAAATATTTGTATAAAAAGTTTTGTTTAAACATTATCTTTATAATTTCAGTTAATAACATAAAATGTAAATATCAGAATTGTATTAGTATTTATTAGTTTATTATAATAAAGGAATATACCGACAGTAAAGATAATGGAAAGTCAAATAACCCTAAAAAATTTTTATTTTAAAAATCTCTTTTTTTTCTTTCTATTTTTCGAATTTACCTTGTGATATATTTTATTCTTTATTTTAGCATTTTTTTTAAATCTTTAAATCTTTTCATTACAAATCTACTCCTATTATTAATTTGTTAGATTTAAAAGGGAATTTAATAGTGCGCGTATGGATTGTTTATTTTTAATTTATTTTAACCCCCATTACCCATATAATTTCTAAAAGATTTTGGAATCTTGCGACAAATCCATTTCTCTCTTAAATTTGTTAGATATCGGGTTATTTCCTGTTGCCAGATCTCCCTCTTTTGGCGTAATTTCCCTATTTTTCACTTTAGTTCACGCCGAAATACTCCATCTATTGATTTACACTTTCTTCCGATATTCCTAAGAAAAAATTCTCCCCAAATTAATTTTTTTTCGATCTCCAAATAAATATTTTTTTAATAATTTGTTATGATAAATCATATAATAAATACTTCCCCCTGATTCTGATGATGAAAATGATTCTTATATAAATGTGAAGTAAATATTTTATATAATTTTGATATTTTAGAAGTAAGCAATTTGTTATTTAAAATTTTAACAGATGCCCTAATAATAATTTTTCATTAATTAAATAACAGTTTCTCATGATATTTCAACTTATCAATAACTATTATGGCTCTGTTGTAATACAATCGCATCATTTCAAAATGAAGCTAATAAATTCATTAAAACAATCATTTCGTATTTAGAAAAAAAGATATGAAATAATAAATGGATATATCTAAATATTATAAGTTCGATAACAAATTCAAATTATAGGAAGTTGAATTAATTAATAATCATATTTAATATAAAAGAATTCTAATTAGTATAATTATTTCAGAAATTCGTTGCTTTAAATACACTATAAAATAAAATAAATATATATTGAATTTGGCTCATAAAACAAATGGGTACTTTTTGTTTTAAAAGAACATTGCGTTGCAATATTATATTCTCGTTATCACAAAAGCTGATTCAAAAGCACATATTTAGTTTAATAAAAAATTTCTGGCCTAAAAGATCGTAATTCGGTTATATTTATCAGCTTTGGAAAGCGGAATTAATGATCAAAATATAATTTTAATTATATTTGTAAAGATTTTAAGGAATATTAAACAAAAAATAAAAAATTTAATTTTAATAACAGAAAAACCTTTTGAAAATTACGATTTAAAATAATATTTATTTATATTTAAAAAAATATTTAATAATTTTATATTTAAAAAAAAAATTAATATAGTATCATCTTTTATTTTAATGGCGTATTAGATATATTCATTTTAAATAAAGTAATTATCATCGGTAAAATTAACGTTATTTATTATAAAATTTTACACATATGTCTTTACCTCAAGATGTTATTTATTTAATAAATTGTTGTTGCATGATTTAAGCGAAATTATAAACAAATTATGATCATAACTCAAATCCAAATATGAGAAACAAATAGATTAATTAATAAGCTCATTATTTTGAAAAACGAGACATTTTGTTATATAACTTCCATTAAAACTTTAAAATATTATAAATTAACATCCATTAGGTGGCGTAATCGATTTTTAAAAAATATTATCACAAGAAATTAACGTTTTCTCTTCATTATTAAAATACAATCACTTCCTATATAAGAATAAAATGATATATAAATTTTTTTAAAGCTTTTAATTAATAAAGGTAGGGAGTTAAAATAGTTTTGCTCAATAATTCCTCTTCCTTTAAAGATCCATGAAAAAGAGTTAAAAATGCATTTAATTTTCCCCCTTTAGCTTCCACCTATTCTAAAGGATGTCCACTAATGAGAGGTAAAAAGTTATATTTCTTCGCCTAAAAAAACTAGGTTATTCCATCCCAACTTTTTGTCAAAAATGATTTTTTTTTATTATAAATCTATTATTTAAGAATATATTATTCATATTTACGTCAAAAAATTCAAAACTTTTCAAATATAAAATTAATCATAGCTAATATTAGATTATTCTATCTCCCTATTTTTTTTTAGTATATTTAAAATGATAATATTCCATTTGCAAAAAATAATCAATCCATTCAGCATGATTTTTTTAAGGATTTAAAATATAAAAAATAAATTCCGATGATTCTATAAGGCCGAACTCAAACAAATCCTTGAACTGCTTTGAAAGAAAAAAATAACCTGAAAACAGTTTGTTGACGAAAATACAAACTATACAATACGCATGCTGAAAATATCATCAACATCTATCTATATTTTTAAATGAATAAAGAATTATTACACTAACATGCGTAAATATTAAAATCTTGTATTGATTTGAATATTTAAAAATTTGATATCAAGTTATTTTTTTTAAAAAAAATTTCTAAATATTGATATCCCATATTTCTGGAGCTTTTTGAACACTATATTAAACCAATTTTTCTATAGCAACTTATTACGCTAGCTAAAAGACTTAGGAACCACACACATCATCGAAATATTAAACAAATTATGATATTATCTCAATCCAAATATGGGTAGTAAATAGTGTTGTATCTGCCACTTTCTAAGTGACAGCTATCAACATTATTTTCTTATGTTTGTATTATTTTATTTCATCTATTTTTATTCTAGATTATGGATTTTTGCCTCGAATACATTTTCTTTTTTTTCCCCGATTTAATTTTTTGATTTAAATATTTATTTCCAGATTTTATTTATTTTAGTCCTGGACATATTTGTAATATTCATTTTGTACATTATTTTATTTTGCAATTCGTGGAATATGATATTATTGGATATTGGGATTTTTGGAAAATAAAAAGATAAAAATAAATAATTATATTTGTGAATATGACTAATTTATATGTCATATTATATTTATATTTTTTGAAGGTTTTATATTATATATAATTTTCTTTTTTTGACAACCTATGATTTGAATAATTTTTATTTTGTCCTTTTGTAAAAATCTTTTATTTTTTTAAGGACCTTTTAAATTATAGTAATTTTCGTAAATGTTAATATGTAAATAGTATTAAAATAATAATATATATATAGCTGTAAAAATTGTAAATATCCAGAGATATAAATTTTATAGAATTGAAACAATAAAATTAATAAAATAAATTAAACTCTACTACATGCCTTCCTTGTGTTTATCATGGTGGCAGCGTACTTATTAATAATAACATTGCCTTTGGAAACTATTATAAAAAGATATTTTGACAATAATAAAAGAGATTTCTCTTATACGTTACATGATTCTATGACAATTATTATGATACGTTATGACAGACTGGAAGACATGCAAGAGGCTTTTGAACTGATAAATGGAAAGGAATACTTTGACACGACTGAAAGATTATTTATACTCAAGGCTCGTAGATATCAAAGAGACTTATAATAATATCAACTATAGTCGTATTGTATTTACATAAACATATATGATAAATTATAATTATAAATATTAATATTATATAATAAAGTATTAAACCTTTAGTTAAAAATACTATAATAGAATGCCCTATATATAATAATAATGTTGAGGTTTTTCTTAAAAAATTCGATAATATATTTAAAGATCCACAATATACCGATATAGAAAAAGCATACGCATTTACGCAGAGGTTACCTGATGATCTTTACCTGAGACTAGAGGCGATATGCACTCCTACGGAATTTAGCAATCCATCAATCGTACTCGAGAGATTTAAACTTTTACAGCCAGACAATTCGAACATAGCGTATTTGAAAGAATTCAGTGAAGTAGTACAAGAAAAAAATGAAAAAAATATATTCAACCAATAAAGATATACGTCAGAAAATTTCACAAGTAGAAAGTTTAGATATTCATGAAATATAAAAATTAGGAAAGGGGATTGAGGATGAAGAAGCTTATGACAAAATAATTAATAAAATTGATAATATAAAAATAGAAGATACATCCGAGATAAAACAAATAGAAATGCGGAAGGACAATCAGGCGGATACGGATAGAAGAATGATGAAATACGATGATCGAAATAGAGGAGTAGATGCACAAACGAATTACGTCCATAGAAATCAATGGAGGCCTAGATACGACAGTTATCAAAGAAATAATTATCAAGAGAATAATTTCTATCTTCGTTTTCAAAATAATTTTAATCCTCGATATCAAAACAATTTCAATTCAAGATATGTGAATAATTACGAGCCAAGACATCGGAATAATTATAATCCTAGAGTTAATAGTGGGTATAATGGACCGAGACCGTATAATAATTTTATAAGATTCAACAATAAAAATAATTAATAACTACAATAATTATAGATATAATAATAATGATAATTACAAATATAATGAAAATAATTATAGAGATCATAGATATCAAAACGAATCAAGATACATACCAAGATACAATAATAATCGTGATAATAGTCAGACATACAATAATAGATATAGAATCAATAATAATAATAATAATCCATCAGGATATTCGAATAATATAAATACCGTCGATATAGAGGAAATAAAGGAGGAAAATAATGATAAAAAGGAACATAGTTTATTTAGAATTGATGTGAATAATATGGAGGATGATGACAGGGCAAATGATGCTTACAAAGTTACGATATACCTTAACGATATGCCGGTAGACATGCAGATAGATACCGGGTCGCGCTTTTCAATATTACCTATTAAGATTGCTAGAAAGATAGGAATCAAAGTCTTAAATAAATCGGATACGAAACTTACTGGCTATGATGGGAAAAGTATTAAATGCTAGGAATCGTTAAAATAAAAGTGAGATATGAAGACAAAACTCAAAACTTAGATGCGTATGTAGTCGAAAGTGACAAGAATGCACTACTAGGAAGAACATGGATAAAAGTTTTTGGTAACATACTCAATAAATTCGTGAATCTAATCGAGGAAAATAATAATGATACGATAGACAATATATTTGTTTTCAAAAACACTCAAAAATAATACTTCAATATCAATGCGTTTACAGAAATGGAATTTAGCAATGGGAGCTTATGATTATACAATAATACATAGACCGGGGAAACAAAACTTGGTGCCCGATTGTTTATCAAGATTAGCATTGATAAATACAGAAAATGTGATAAATAATATAGATGATAAAGAAATTGTCAAATTATAAGACACACCAATAAACTTCAATCAATTAGTTAAAGAAACAAAGAATGATTAAGAACTAATGGAAATAATGAACCAATAAAGAACAAAACATACAGAAACATGGAAATGGAATTGAGTTTGATAAAACATTGTCTATTTAAAGAAAACAGAATAATAATACAATTGAACATGAGAAAAGAGATTTTACGCGAACTACATAAAGGACATTTAGGTGCAGGTAAAACGAAAATGTTGGCGAGAGATTATTTGTGGTGGCCTGGTATAAACAAGGAGATAGATCTAGAGGTAAAGAATTGTGACGCATGTAACAGATATGCGGATAACCCCCACAAAATACAAAATCAATGGGAGCAACAAAGATTTTTGAACGTGTACATATAGATTTTGCACAATTTGAAAACAAAAATTTAATGGTGTTTGTGGATGCGTATAGCAAATTTCCAATCATAAAACGAATGAAAAACATTACGACGGAATCAACTTTAAAAGAATTGATGAAAATTATAAGCTTATTTGGAATACCATCGTGACGGACAATGGTACGAATTTTACTAGTCAATTATTTAAAAAGTTTTATGAAGATTATGGCATAAAACACATACTTACAGCACCTCAGCATCAACAATCGAATGGTCAATGTGAACGGGTGATAAAATGAAAATGAGTCTTAAAAGAAATATGGAAAACAACACGAACATAGATTTGGATATAGCTTTAGAGAAATTTTTGTTTAATTATATAAATACGCCGAATGAAAGAACGAATATGATACCCAGTAAAGTAATGTTTTCAAGAACGATCAGGACCAAATGGGACTTAATCAAACCTTTGGAAGATAACGAGAATATATTAAGAAGAAAAATATCAAAGAATAGAGAAATAGAAATAGGAGACAAGATTTGGTACAAGACGTTTAAAGAAAATATTTGGGATAAAGGAGTAGTAGTACAAAAAGAAGGCAACTTGACATACAGAATAGACAATGGACATCATATTATCAGAAGACACAAATAAAAAAGAGAGCATCAATAAATAATACTGAAAAAATTTTTAGAGGGGGAAGAAGTGAACAAGTTCAAGTTCAAAATTCGAAAATTCAAAGTCAAGTTCAAGTTCAAAATTCAAAGTCAAGTTCAAAAGCGATATGACCTACGACATAGAAAATGATTGTTATAAATAAATAAAATTTTGTAATAAATTATATATAAAATTTTGAAAGAGAAAAGGGATGATCAATACAAATAGCAAATCAACAAGCAATGTTCAACTAACAATGATGTACAACCAACGATGTTTCATGATGTTCGATAATCGATTTAACAAACGATGTTGGGTTCGAGCCAGATCGACAAAATAATGGAGCTATGAAGGAGATGACAAATGGAGGAAGAGTCACTTAGAAAAAGGGGGAGATGTTGAATATGAATAATTTACATCTCATATTATATTTATATTTTTTGAAGGTTTTATATTATATATAATTTTCTTTTTTAGACAACCTATGACTTGAATAATTTTTATTTTGTCCTTTTGTAAAAATCTTTTATTTTTTTAAGGACCTTTTAAATTATAGTAATTTTCGTAAATGTTAATATGTAAATAGTATTAAAATAATAATATATACATAGCTGTAAAAATTGTAAATATCTAGAGATATAAATTTTATAGAATTGAAAAAATAAAATTAATAAAATAAATTAAACTTTTCTACTTTTTTAATACCTGCCTTCCTTGTGTTTATTAATATTCAAATATTTGAGAAGATTATCTAAGAAGAATTATTATCATTTATATTTAAAAAAAAAATATATACATAACAAATAGGTGAATAATCTACTCAGTATTTAGGAAAACGAGGCATTCTTTTATTTATCTAGAGTGTTTCGAAATTCCATAAATTAACATCCATAAGATGGCCTAATAAAAACAAAATTAAAATCGATTTTTAAATATTATCCCAAAAAATATGCGTTTTTTCCATTTTTAAATTAATCACTTCCTAAATAAAAACAAAATTATGTATAGATTTTTTTAAAGATCCTTAGTAGACCCGAGAAACTCCACTTTTTGTCAAAAATAATAATTTTCAATTATTTAAGAATATATTAATCTATTTATATAACAAAAAATCGAAAACTTTAAAAATATAAAAATTAATCATAGCTAATTTATTTCTTTTTATTGTTAAAATTATTTCATTCAATGTGGGGTTTTCATTAGACCCTATCTTACAAGTTATCTTTCTTTCTTCTCTTCTCTTCTCTTCTCTTCTCTTCTCTTCTCTTCTCTTCTCTTCTCTTCTCTTCTTCTTCTCTTCTCTTCTCTTCTCTCTCTCTTCTCTTCTCTTCTCTTCTAGAATAGAAAGAAAGAAAGAAAGAAAGAAAGAAAAAAAGAAAGAAATATGTAATTGTTCCCACCATGCCATAATTTTAAAAATCAAAAAACTATTTTGATTAAAACTTCTATTTCGCATTTATACGAAAAACTTGTTATTTTAAAAGTGTTGAATAGGGATTTAAACCCAACCTAAACCGAACCGTTAAACAGATATTAACCTTTATTATTTATCGGACCGGAACATAATTTTGTCACCCGAACCTGAGTCACAAAATATATCCGTGAACCAATTTGAACCTTTTAAATATCTTAACTTTTTAAAAGATTATTATTTAATAAAACACAAAAGTCATGCCAGAAGGGGTATAAAAACGTAAACAATTTATATAATCAGATTTCTATGCCGCCAAAGCTGACGCATCATCGCCATATAACTGAATCAAACTCATCACTAAAAGCTTAACCTATATCAAATAGAAAGATAGCGGAAATGGTCTTTAGAATCGCGGATTAACCATTTTAAAATCACGGGCGCTACTTAGTAATTTTTGGGTGAAGTCTGCATAAGTCTCCTAAATTACAAAGGTTCTTTATTTCGATATTCATTAATTGCACAGCATATCCCCTGTTTGTTGTGGTGAGTTCTATGGAGTAAAAAAAAATAAAAATGGAAAACTAAGAGATTTTTAAAAAGAACCACCTGTGGCTTAATCTTTATATTCTGATTATTTTCTATTTTAGAAACATCTATAAAAAAAAGTGTCTAAAAGCAGTGTTTACATGGTAAGAGCGATCTCTCTCAGAATATCTTTCATGGGATTTTAGTGATATGAATCTCTTCTCTTTGCTTCCTAATAATTTCCATCATAAAGAACGTTGGATATGAGAATGAAAGAACACTATAAACATCAGTCGATGATTTATTAATTAGCTGGGAGAAATAAGAAATAGTGCTAAAAAAATATTTTGTATAAATTATGGCTCAAGTATTGCTTTTTCCGTGTATGCATATTGCTAATATCATGATTAAAAAAATGAAACTTCTTAATTATTATACAACAATCAAGCGGTATTATATTGTAAATTATAATATGATTTAGTATGAAAATATTTTTAAATTCTTAATTGTCCTAAGTGCAATTGGAATTTTCTTATCAAAAATATAAGCAATTTTTTTAAAAAAGACAAATATCATCTGCTTATTTTTTTTTAATTAAAAAGAAAAAGCAGACGAATTTTTACGATCTTATAATATTCTTTCTCTTTTTGCGAAATTTTATTTTAAAATGTTTAATTTAGTTTAATATTGTATTTAATTCTGTAATTTAAAGAATTTTATAAAGAGAATGACAAAGTATTACGCTCTGAGTGGCAAAAAAACGAAAAATCATAAGAAAGAACAAAAAAAATTATCTCTTATTATCCCTAAAAAACAATTGAAAGACGTAGTGACAACGGATATTATAACCACCAGAAAAAATGACCAAACTATATTAAATACGATCAGTTCACTATTGAAATATTATTACACATCGATTATTCCAAAGAATTTACCTTTCTATAAGACCATAGCCGAAATCAGAGTTTACATCTGGGAATTAAAATACTATTTTAGGTTATTAGGTAAAAAATTTATAAAGCACTTTATATGAATGTCTATATTATCTGAACTTTTTTTAATAGAAGACCCATTGATAAAGTACTATTTGGAAGCCGACATATGTTTTAGAACAACTGATAAAGTTATAAAATAATTACTTTGCAATAAATAAATTTTTTAAATTTATTTTAGTATGCTCTGGCAATGGTATTCGCCTACTTTAAAAGAGCTAAATTGGAAGATGGAGAATACAATAAACTTAATTTTTTCATAGCTCTGTAAGTCAAGTCTATTTATATACATTTAATTATTAAAAACTGTTTTTTTTTCTAAAATCAAATATTATTTATTATATAATCTAAAATATAACATTTTTAATTCGAAAAGTTTTACTTTTATAAAAAAAAATAACTTACTTTTAAAAAATATGTAACATGTTACATATTTTATTTTTGAATGTAACGACATATTTCAAACTATTTATATAATGAATATTTTATATCTCTTTCCAGTTACATTCGACTTTTTTTTAAATGATACAAAAAGGCAACTATATAAATATAACTCGTTCATTTCTTTGTATTAAATCCCAAATTTAAAATTACCGTTACATACTAAATTAAATAAGTCACCTCTTTTATGTAACTTTAAAAAAAACATTGCTATCACGTAATATCAAATACATTTATAATAAATATATAGCTACTTGGCCAATACTATGGAAGAAGATGAAACAGAATACAAGTTAGAAATTCTACCATGGCTCTTGGGGGATAATTATTGGAATAAACTTAAGGGATTTTTCTTCTATTACAGAAATTTTTTCGTACGCTTAAACATGAGGGCGTGTGTCAGTAGAAAATGTTGCGAAGAAGTTAGTAGAATAATAAATATAAGATTTTAAATTTTGTTAAAAAATTTTATATATATCTGTGTTAAAGGACAATAGAGCCTAACAAAATTATTTTAAGGACCAGGCAAAAAATATTTATGGGCCAGGCCCAAAAACTCGAAGGACTGATTATTTCTTTAATTGCATTCACATTATTATTTTTTTAACTTTAAATCATTTCTTTGATCGCGTTTTTTTAAATATATAAAATATATTTTTACCGAAAATGTATTCTAACATGTTGAGAATATTTACATTATAATTTGTAGATAATTTTACCTATAATTTATGTGAAAAATCTATCGTTTCAGGTTCATATAAAAATAAGTGTTTTGGGTTTAGGTTTATTATTATCGCTTCAGTTCGAAATTTTAGAAACGCGTTTCAAATTTTTTCAACCTACAAACTTATTAGAATCTGCATAAAAACATCTTTTTAATTTTGTTTTTATTCCTAAATCCTATAACTTATCTACCTATAACAAATTAATGATCTTTAAAATAGTTTAGAAAATTTAAACGGTTCAAATCGGTTCACGGAAATATTTGGTGATTCAGGTTCGGGTGACAAAATTATTAACAGTTCGGTTCGGTTCGATAAATAAACAGGGTTAATATCGGGTTAAAGGTTCAGTTTGGGTTGGGTTTAAATGCCTGTCAGAATTCTACTCGGTGCTTTAAATAATAAATTTTTCGTATAAATGCGAAATAACCGTTTTAATATAGTTTTTTTTTAATTTTTAAAGATGCTGGGGAAAAAATAAATATCCAGTAACTTGTAAGATGGGACTTAATGAAATTACACATTTCAAACATCAAGTAAAATTTGGCAGAGTTAGATAGTAAATTTTAAAAACATTTTTTTTGTAAAGATGACCAAAAATAACCTCAAAAAATGGACTTTCCAACTCTAAAAATTCAATTTAAAAAAAAATAGGCGAAATATCATAAAACTTATTTATTTATATTTTGTTTATAAATATCCGTAGATTTAATTTTTAAAAAATATATTTAAAATATATAATCAAAAATAATACTTCCTTTTTAATTTACCCATGAAAACCGGACCTAAAAATAAATAAATCGGGTCGCGTTTGGTCAAAAACGGAATGGCAGGGATTTATAAATATAGAATGGTCAGCATTCCAGCCGAATTAAAATGCCTACTTCTAAAAAATCATATTTTCTAGCAAGAATTTTTAAATATTTAAGGGAGGGGGGGGGGTGAGGGTGCTGGCAAGGAAAGCAGCAAACACCCTTGTTCTCTCTGCGCGTTAGGAAAGGCAATCAAAATTTTAGTCACGAGAGGGTCCCATAAGATTTTTTTTCTAATTGCCGGGGGCTCTAAGAATTTTGCTGTACGCATCTAGGTGCTTTTTAGAATAAATTTCTCTAATTATATTTAGGTTTTATTTTTTTAAACAAAATACTGTAAAGATAATAGACATATTTCCCCAGCACGACATATGGTGGAAGAGGGAAAGAAAAGTAAGCCACGGCGGAGCTAATTTGAGGTATCTCAAGAACAGGTTTTTGTCACCGAAAGGTCCAACCAAGACACCCGTTGGATGTGTAGTCTGTCAATCTGGTCTGCCCAGGAGAAGCAAATTTTTGCCCTACTACTCTCCGAAGTTTCCTTTCAATTTCGATTTAAACGCTTCTCCCAATCTCAATACGTCTTTGGACGGGGTATTTTGTTTTTATATTGGACTACCCATAAAACCTGGGAAATTAAGTAAAGGGTTTTATAAAAAAGAAGAGAGTAACCCTTTTACATCGATGCAATAATAGTTTGCTTTTATATAAAATCATATTATGTTTTTAGGAATTGAGTATATTAGGGTACCTTGGCTTGGGTTTAAATAGCTACTCCACGTATTTTAAAAAGTGCAATAATTTCGACTATGACATTAATTTATCATTTTTTTTTAAGTTTTAAATATTGCTTTTAACCAAACAGAAATGATAATTTGTTTTAATAAAAAGATAATTGACACCATTCTTATGTAGTATGTATAGAGAAGGACTTTATGTAAACATTTAAAGACAGGTTGACTAGATGTATTAATTTAATATAACATCTTTCAAGTTTATCCTAAATAATAACTAATAAAAATATCATTTTCTAAAGCAGTGTTCCTGCGATGAATGCTGTCCCGTGGATTACAACGGCTCGATATCGGGTGACAGTCAGCTGATGTACTATCACAATTCGACGTCCACGAATGATTTTGTACAATGATTAATCCCTTCGAATATATTTTAAAATGAATATTATAGTATACAATAATATTTATCTTCTATGTAATTCGTATTTCTTAATATATAAATGCATTGATATATTTTTTTTTAAAAAAAGAAATTCTTTGTTATCAATAGAGTGTATAAAATTGATTGATCACATAAATAGTTAATTTCAAATTTTAAGTCCAGAAATAAATGTCACAAAGATTTATCCACTTAAGAACGAACGTTACAAATCGAATTCCTATTTTTGCCTCTATCCAAAACAATTTATAAGATTTTTTTAAAACAAATATCATAATGTAAATCAGGGATGTTAGTGATTAAAAAAAAATTCAGGTAGCGGGCCTGCTTGAATTGTGCAAATTTATGATTTTTAGACATAAATATATGGTATCTGGATGATGACACCATCTGTTGACCATCCAAAAATATTATAGCAAATGATAGATTATATTGAATTCTCTAAAAATACAGGTCTTACTCTAAGTAAAGCTAAATCTGAAATATGTTTTTAAAATTCAAATGCCTTCAAATCAATGTCCTTGGTGTTTCAAATTGTTATAAAAAATTATTGTGTATCGGACTTGTGGAAAATAATTTTGTCGGGTAGGAAGATAATGTTCTCTTGAATTATATAATATTTCTGAAAATAAAACTCTTTTATAGTGATTAGTTCACAAAATATGATCATTAAATGGAACTATAGGTTTTATGTTTTAAAAAAAAAATGTCAACTGTTTATATATATATATTTTTTAAATTTATTAGCCTATAAAAAAATTGAATATTATTTTGGATCCTCTAAAAAAGATTTAAATATTTTAATTGATAAATGTGGTGACCTCAGGATAATACGATATAAAAAAATGGAATTTTTTATTTAAATAAATGTAAGGGTTTTCTTAATTATAATTAAGTGGAATAGTTAACAAGCGATTGGCATATCTAAGGGAATAGCTGGTGGGAATGATCTTCTTTAGCAAATATACCAGTTCTTTGTAAATATAATTTTATGCCTCCCCCCCCCCTCCTCCTCTACCAAAAAAATTCTATGATATTATAATTATGTCATTTAGACAATATTATCAACAACAAAAAATAAATAATTTTTTAAAAAAATGACAATTTAAAACTATCGAAAAAAGGATGCGAAATCAAAATTCGGAGAGGCCTTCAAAGAGGGTCCTAAAAAATATCCAATAGTTAAATAAACCCACCAAAAATCATTCCTTACGGTCAATATAACAGGTGTGATGTATCTAAGATTTTGTTTCGAGAAATGGTGAATGGGGGGGGGGGTGCAATTCCCCCTCCCCCTCTTCCCATAAAAACCACACTGTATAACAGTAACAAGCTAATAAATAACATATTGTAGTCAAGCTTACGTGTCAATAAAAACTGTGTATTATTATATTTAATGCATATTTATATACTATACAAGAGATCATTGAAATTCTAAAAATGATCTATAAGAGCTATATTTAATGCGTTCCCAGACCTGGCAAGATCAGAATAAAAACTAATAAAGTAGTAGTAAATATAGCCTCTTTGAAAACTCACTCAAGGATAGAATTAATCCAAAAACGATATTTTAAGTATAGAATTAGTATTTGATAAAAAAAATGGCTTTCTGGACCATTGACGCAGTAATACATAATCCTAGGGGCATTCGACAAAAAACAAGATATATATTTCTAAATTTGAGTCTTGAAAATACTGAAAACACAAGATACAATTATTAGGGCTTATTTAAATCATTAATTTCCTTGATTTCAACATTTAATATCTTTATCTAAAAAGTGGGAGTTTCAATGATCAAGGTTTGAAATCCTGGGATTTTTGTATAAAATACCACCTTATTTATGTGATATTCATTAAAGAGGAATGCCTTAATATTTTTAATTAAATTATATGAAAAATAAATAAGAAAACAATAAACACAACCTAGTTATACCACTACAACTAAAAAATGTTTTTATTTGTTTAAAATTCTACTATATATCTAAAAATTATATTCATTTTGGCGTGTATATTTAAATAATAAAAATTAACAGTTCATTGAATTGTTGTAGGAGTCTTTTTGTATTTACTTTCCATGGACGTTTAAATGGCAAGCGCATCTTGTTATGCGTACAAGTAATTGCGGCCTGACCAAAAAATAGATGTTCCTTCTTATAATTATTTTCCTTAAATTTTGTTTCCCAGTTTATAGTTTTGGAAGAACATATACATAGGGATATGCACTTAATATCCTGTAAATTTTAAACATTTTTTAAGATAATTAAATATTTAGAGCTAAACAAAGTTTAATAACAAATTGAATATTTTAGAAATAATTTTGCTGCTACATTTAATTAGAGTAAACAGAACCTACTAACAGATTAGTATACAAAGTATATTTAAGCAATGACTAATACCATGCAAATTTTGTGAAGAAAACCAATGAAATCATTTACGTTACAGAGACGAGCTTCAAAAGATCTTTTAAAATCCATGGATGTATTTCAAAAACAAATATCGATTAACTATGTGGAATTAATGATTATATACCAAACTAAATAAGAACCGTTTAGTAAAATAACGTTTTCGCCACCCATATTAAATACGTCACGAATCTTGAGTGGTGGAGATAATGGGGATTTATTTTTGTTGATAATATAGGAATCATTTTAATCTTTATCAACTACTTTGTATAACAGCTTTAGCTTATGTAATATAAATTTTTGCCAGATCGAAACCAATTTGGAAATGGCTTGTGGAAAAAAGGCGGGAATATAAGTTGTTTTTTTATTTTTAATATTTTAATGATAAAATTTTTATTATTTTTTTAAATTTATATCTGTACATTATCTATATTTGAGTATTGTTTGTTAGTGTTACGAATATAGGATTAAATAAATCGAGAATTTAATATAATAATTTATAGGCTTAGAAAAGGCCACTAAACATGATTCACTTTTGCTAAAATAAGGTTAAATAATAATTTAAATAGATAATGCATTTTGAAAAATAATTGTGCTTAAGTTGAGAAAAAAATTGAAATCAATGATTTAAAAATAATCACATTTTTATTTCTACACCCTGTGTAATAGTCTTATAAGAACAAAGTTCTTTAAATGCAACCTTAACTAAAGCATCTATTAAAGTCCTGCAGAGCTTATCGACAGAACCGAATCCAATAATATTTAAAATATTGTCAGTCGATAGCAAAAAAAAACAATAGAGCCTGAAGTAAGGGCGAAATTTTTTTAAAAAAATTGCCAGTCGCATAAATAAACAAAATGATTTTAAATTTATTTATATTCAAAGTTTCAAAAAAAAGGCATAAGTAAAAACATTTGACAGTTATAATAATATTATTATAATTTAAATGAAAAACTTTCATGTTTACAAAAAAAATTATATTAGCATTATATATATATAATATGAGGTTTATTTCACACGTTCAACTAATTTAAAAAGCAACGTGAAAACGTTTTTCCTAATAAAATGTTCTTTTTTAAAAAATATTTTTACGTAATGTGGGTTTAAAATATAAAATTTTGATAATATTATGCATTTATTATAAATTACAAACTACCATATTCTCGAAAAATAGGAGGTATATGATTTCGACGGGAAAAAAATTATAAAAAATTTGAACAGAATATGTTAAAGTTTTCGGGATGAGGGGATAAACTATTACGATTTTATGACTTGGTAATTTTCTGATTGACTAGTCAGTTGCAAGTGGAAAGAGTATTTTAAATGGTAAAAATTGCTTAAAAATCTAATGCTAAAGGCCTCTTTAAAAAAATTAAAAAGGAAAATATATAGTGGTTTGAATAATAGATATATAATGTATTTTTTTTTGCGACTATATAATATAATTACAGAATAAATAAAAGTCAAGAAATCTCCAAAAAATGATTATTTTTTTTGTTAAATATTTGACAACATTTTAAAAGATTTTGAGGAAAATACCTCGTGTTTAAAATTCAAATAAAAAAAGAATAATATTATTTGTCATAATTTTTTTTAAAAAAAATTGTCGCTTATTTGGCTGTATATAGTGTTAAAGATGTGTCTTCATTTTAATTGTTAAAAATACGTATATATAATTTATGCATTTATTATAATATATAAGTAAGAAATCTCTTTTTATTAAGGAGATCAAAGCTAAGGACGACAGAATGAAAAGACATCGATAGATGCCTTATGAGTGAGTTCCGTGTTTAGTATTTCGAAATAAAAAATATTGAATAAAAGGCGTTCGTTAATCGGTGGACCAATTGAGCGATAATCGGATAAATTATACAATCCGTTAGCCTGCCGCAATTATTTGAGAAAATTTTATTTTCCTAAATTTAACCGTAACTTATAATCTAAAATCAAATTTTGCTTTTTTTTTAAAAAAAAAGGAGAGAAATATACAAAACAAGAGAGGGAAGAAGGGAGAAGGGAGAGAGAGAGAAAAAAAAACACATTTTGATTTTATTTTATCAAATGGAGTAATTAGACAAGTAAGGTGCTATACTCTTGGGAAGAGCGTCGTCCTTGATGTGATCTACCATTATACTTTCCGATTCGTAAGTCGCCGTGTGTTTGGCCAAAATTCTCATCAATGATCTCAAGTTCATCCACCATTGTGGACATAGGTGGGTCCTATGCCTGTTTAAGATAAAAAAAATAATAGAAAATACATTTTGTATCTGTCGGTTCGTTCATTGATTTATTTTTCAAAAATGATTAAGAGGTGTAGTAGGCTTGAATTAAAATTATTTAAATTTCTATTTTAATTTATATACCAATAAATTTTGGTAGATTGTGTTTAAAAATGAATTTTTAAAACAATTTTATATATTATTTTATTTATTAAATACGCGAAATCGGCTTCACCGAGCAAATCAATGACGGGGGTAAACGCGACAGTTCTTTTTTTGTATCCGATCATAACCGCACTCTCGGGACTCACGGCCTTCACTACACCTGTTTAAGTATCATTGTCAAATTAGGAGATAATAAATTTAATTTTTTTTAAAATAGAATAATCTTGTGGCGTTAAATCAATGAATAACATACTATAGATAGACGTTCAATTCATTCGTTCAAATGCGAGCACGCCATTTTAGTTTCATGTAAATAATTTTATACGTAACATTTATATCAAAACGTATTTTTGTTTATTAAAAAATTTCAGAGTTTCATTTATTGATAAAATTTCTTATCATGGGAAACTAAAATGGCGTGTCACCAGCTGATTTTTATTGGAAGACGCTTCAAAATGCGTTTTAATGAATGAATGGTCAGCATAGGTAAGTTATATATTTGCGTCAAACTGAATAGGTGGGAGGGGTCCTCGCATACACCCCATGTTTTAAATTTGAAATAAGCATAATGATTATGGTTATCTTCAAGCACAATATTTATGCTGACTTAGGGCTTAAATGAGGCGTATTATATTTGAGTGAATAATTCTTTTAGGTACAGATTACCGGATATATTCCACGGTTCTATTCAGAGTTTGAAATACTCTTCAAAAATAAAAATATATTAAGGGATTTTTAAATATCTGAAGATTTTTTCGAGAATGCTCAAAGAAGATTTTTCATCAAATTTTACCCAAAAATTCTAATTTTTTTATGTAAAATAAAAATCTTTTATAAGTATATCTTTTGTGATTTTCATGCATAAAAAATTCCCAATTTTAATGATAACTCTGATTCTATTAAAAATATCGGTTCTTTTTATTGTATACATTAACGTATTTATTTTTCTTTAAATCAAAGATTTAACAAACAATGATGATGTAAAAATAATAATAAAACTAACAACAAGCAACAAGCACAAAAAAAATATAAATCAGTATTATGAATAAATCTCAAATTTAACAAACAATCAGTGTATAAAAGAGTAAAACAAACATTTTTTAAAGATCAACTATCGATCCCGGGTGATAAATTAAAACCGGTTACCGATAAAAAATTTAATCCGTTAAATCTTCAATTTTTAGGTATATTTTTAAAACAAATATAACTTAATTTTTAAAGAAATAAATAGCCTTGATAAGTTAGTTTATCAATTATCAATAGATATTGGTATTTAAAGAATTGTAATTCAGAAGAGGAGGGGGAGGTTAGAAAAAATTAATCCATCTTATTTAAAAGTTGTAAAAAAAATGAGAAGGTTCAAATGCGACTTAGCCCTAACTCCCGTCTCCAAGTATGCCACAGATCGCCGAAATCTAATAATTGAAATTCTTTAAATAATTCAATCAATCATTTTCAAAATGTCTTCTCAACCCACACTATTTTAAATCTCAATTTTATGCCAACACCTAGTTCCCATATATATATATATATACATACCTTCGGGAGATACGGATTTTTCGAGTTGTTCCACCATGTATCTAAACGCTTTGAGCGCCATCTTAGTTCCCATGTTACGATCGAAGGGAGTAGGAATGCCGCCCTATACAAAAAAATTTTTTTTTTTTAAATATTAATAATTATATCCTTATATTAAAACGTAGGCATGCATATAATTAAATAGGTATCAATCAAACTCCAAAAAAACGTTAAAACTCATGAACTATAGTTTTTTTTTCTCTCTTTCTTTCTTTATCATATTTACTTGGACCTGATGATTCATTCATTAAAATATAATTTTAAAGCTCGTTTAATACAAATCAGCTGGTGACACGTCATTTTGGTTTTCTGTGTAACAATTTTTTTTTATATATATATAAATAAACGAAACTCTGGAATTTTAAAAAAATTTAAACATAAATTATTCGTATAGGAAAAAAAAAATGGCGTCACACCTTCTGATTACACATTTACATGGATTAATTGGTCAACGTTTCAAGTAACATAATTATGTGATAGATAGGTATATATATATAATATATCTTACTTGTTGAACATGCCCGAGGACATTTTTCCTGGCAGAGTAAACACCGTCGCTCTCACCCAGATAAAGGGAATTCATAAAATCCATCGTATAATTCTCGTGACATTTTTCGTTCCTAAGCTCGTAAATCAAATAAATATTATATTTTCTTTCTAGAAAGAAAGAATATCAGATTGGGTTCAAAGCTGTTTTTTCCTCTTTTTTAAAAAAATAATATTTATTAGAATAGGCAGGATTAGATTGCTCTGATATTTTTCAATTTTATTAAACAAAAAACATTTAAAAGATTGGGAAATCAAAGTAAACAGGTTTCGCGGTTCATTCCCGCTGTGACTAAAATGAATGCTCAGATTTGAACATTCCAATTCCTCAATCAAAACAAATTGGTTGGTAACGTTAATTCTTCATGTATATATATATATATATTATTATTATTATTTAATTTCTATGTAAAACCTGAGTATAATGCCCCGTTGGATTCCTTCGTCCATTTTGGCTTTGATATGTAAAACATCGTTCTTAAGTTTTCGTGTAGGAAAATATTTTAATAGTGCAAGGTAATTTATTTTATACCCGTTTATAGCTCTATGAAATTCTCCGAATTTTCTAGCCGAATTTAAGTTATCAAATATACGTGCCCAGGATATACTTACTAAAATTAGTAAATATTAATAACATTAATTCGCAGAATTCATCCGAGTAAAGTTCGGGTGGCTAATTTCATAGAGCTAAGAGTGGGTAATGAAAATTAGTTCTCATCATTGATAAAAAAAAATTATATTATTTCCAACTGTTGAACATGCCCTATTTTTTAAAATAAGGCAAATGAATTTGATTTAAAGATACTAAAAAGCAAGAAACCCATGAATAAGAATCATAAACGGAAATGGGAGTACGAGAGAGATACCAATAAAAAAAAATGATGTTCTAGTATTAAGAAGAATGGTGGTAAAAAGAAATTTCTTGGGGGGAGGGGAATAGGATGTTTTATTTATTCGATAATAATAAAACGTTTCTAAAAGTGACGCCTTAATCTGGCCCGGTAGGCGGGCTAGATAAAATAAGTATGGGCCAGGTCGAAACCCGGATCATAATGTTCCACATGGAGTTCAGTTCGGTTCGGCCCGCTCATTTTTTTTTATAGTTACCAAAAATAGTTTAAATGTCTTCAAAAAATGGAATTACTTGTAAATCTTTAATGGTGAACTTTTCTTCGAATATATAAGCCGCGTCGGCACCCGCGGCCAATCCGCTACAAGTAGCTAAATACCCACAGAATCCGCCCATAGTTTCGACTACGAAAACCCTGCGTTTCGTGCCAGTAGCCGATTGTTTTATTTTGTCCACTAGCTAAAGGGTTTGTTTAAATTTATTTTCGTATATCAATTAATCTGCTTTTAAAAAACAACAAAATTGTCTAATTTTTTTTAGCCCCCTTTACTCTCATTTAAAAACGTTCAAGGTGATAAGCATTTAACTCCTCGAGGGATGGCTAGAAGTGCCCATCTTACCCATATTTAATTTTAAGCGTCAAACGAATCATTTAATGACTTACCGAGCAAATTTCGTTCAAAGCGGTGTCAGCGCCTAAGCTGAACTCCGTGCCCGGCACATTGTTACTTATGGTAGCAGGGATGCACACGAAGGGTATACAGAACTCTGGATAATTAGGCCTGTTCTCGTAAAGTTGTAAGACAGTTCTAAAGGCCTTTTTTTATATATATAAAAAACATAATTTTATAAACTCGAATTATATTTCTTTCTTTTCTTTAGTGGGACCTCCAATTTACTTTAAAAAAAAAATTTTTACTCTGAAATTAAATTTTACTTCGAATCCTCCTATGAACAAAATGCCTTGAATGTTAAACTCTTTGATCCTGGCTGCTAGCTCATTGAAATGACCCTCTGCCAGTGATCTGTGAATATTTTTTTTTTAAGAAATAAGGATAATACACAGATACTTTTAAATCTTAATATACTAATCAAGTTGTTTTTATAGTTACTTCTCACCATTTTTCGCTTCATAAACAAAGAATAGCATAAATATTAATACCTATTTATGCCAAGTAAGGATCCACCTCTTCCAGCCCACCCATGAACGTCGCCCCATTTCAAAGCTTTTATCTAATTTTTTTTAAAATATAACAATAAAAACATGTCCAAAATATAATTCTAGAAAATTTTAAAACTTCTGAAAGTTTTAAAACTTCTCGAACTTTTAAAATATTTTTTAAAAAAAAAACAACTATTCACAATTATATAAGTAAAATGGTTAAGATATATACGATATAATTTTTTTTAAAAAATTGATGTTATTAATTAAACAGACGTAACCAGGAATATTAGGCTTATAAATTATATGTGACAAAGCTGAGAGAAATTAAATAAAATAATTAATTTTATTAAAAAATATGAAAAATATTGGAATAAAGGATAAATTTCGTGAAAGAGTTAATTGATAAATTTTTTCCAAACTTTAATTTTTCGGGTCTGCGCATCCAGTCGCATGCATATATTTTTTTTGTCGATGATGTTGATTGGATTGAATGTGATAATAGTAAGGTAACATTTTACAAGATTTATATTTGAATTTGATATGAGGAATGATAATAGTTAGATGATTTGCCAAATGGAATTTCCCGCCAAAAAAAATCCAGGTGTAATTCGGTCGCGACAAATATAAAGATTTAACATAAAAAAAAGTTTGATATTTTAGTAAAATATTAAATTGGGGGGAAGGAGAATGTTAGGATTACTTCAATCCGTTTACATAATACCAAAATTTAGCAAAATGGGAAATAATGTCCCAAATGGGATCTTTATTTTACACGGGATAATGCCCATCAAAATATGCTAATCGCTTGAAAGAAGTGATTCAGGGAGACGAGGGGGGGGGGCATTTTATATATAACCACCACCCCCCCTTACCACCCTCCAACCAATAATTATATTTAACACGATGAAAACGAAGCACGTATAAATAAGCGCAAAGAGATTTTTTTTTAAAAATAAAAAATTTAGTATTATAATTATGATATGAATATAAACAAAAGGCATTCAAATAAAAAGAAAAAATAAGCTAATAAATTGCGAGTTACAATGAAAAAAATACTATTCAAATTTATTTATTTTATTTTGAAAGTGGGATTAGATGAGTTGGAACTTTAGATACTATATCTCTTTCCTTAGTTTCAAATCCAACCTCCAGCCTATTAAATCTATATAGCATCGCTTATCGCCGGAGAATGCGAGGCGGGCGCTCTCTCATTTCCTACAAATTTGGCGCGACCATTCCCGGAATCGGCTAAGCAAATACGGTTATTAAAAAAGAGTATCGGATACCGGTTTTAAGAATTGGCCCGGCATATATGATTGATTGCAAAAGATTTTATCGTGGCGCTCGATTCATTGGCAAACTAGAACCTTATTTAGCTACAGTTACCCTATCCATTTTAAAACGACATCTAAGAATCCCCCTAATCTACGGCGACTATAAGCGGGTCTCTATGGCGATTGGTATAAGCAAATCATTTAAAGGTTTATTTAACGCGAAAGAATATATATTTTTTAAATTTTATATATAAAAGAAAGATAAGCTACAAATAGATACAACACAATGATATAATGATCGCGAGGCATGCAGATAGAACATTATATTTTTCGAAGAAACAAAAATTTTTTTTTTTTTTAAAGAAAAGATAAATATATTTCGTTACTTCGGGAATCTATATTTTGATAAAATAAATATCCAACACAAATTCTTAATATAACTAAAAAGAAAGCCAAAAGGAGTGGATTGGGATAATATTCACATTTTTTTGGTGGAAGTTAAAAAAAAATAGGTCTATATCTATATCAAGCCATTAATCCAAAATGTAACTAAACCTAACCCTAATTAAATGAGTAGGGATCCGTTGTATTTTTTTAACTATTCTCACACAACGACAAAAAAAATAAGGATGGAAAAAAAATAACAGGAGAGAATAAACAAACTTAAAACGTTTATTTAAACTAACATTTCCTTCGGCGAATCCTCTAATCCCGTCAGAAATTCCCAGACAGGTGTAGCCATAACAAAGTGACATACGGACAAAAGATCTAACAGCGGCGTTGATGCCACAACAGGGAGCTCCAACGTTAACTACGGCTAACGTGAATTTGCGCTAAAAAAATTATACGCATATTATAATATATATATATGTATATATATTCATTTTCCAAAAGCTTTTTTTTCTTACGAAATCAAATTTAAAACATTCATTTCATGCGGGCGGAGATATTGTAAAGAAATATGTACTCTTAAAGTTCTCCCCCCCCCCCCCAAAAAAAACAAGTAATTTTTTAAAGTTTATTTCTTCCCTTCTATATTACTCTATATTCGTCATTAATTAGGCTAACTCGTGGTAGAATTATAAAACTTTACTTTAATAAGAATAGCAAAGATATATTAATAAAATATTCGTTCCTAAAAGATAAAGAATAATATTGATTTACCAAGTATCATATGAATAGTTTCTATATCCATTATTATATTATGATTATGAGATTTAAATATAATATAATAAACTATAAATTAATATTTTATTGCTAAAATTATGTGTGTGTATTTATGTGGGCGGCAATGTGTTTTTTTTTCCGGCAAATAGTTATTTTTCATTAAATCATTTTTTGAGCACGTTTTCCATTTTTTTTCATTGTTAATAAGATTAATAAGCATTTTTGGTTTGATTTAGAAAAGTTAACTATATTTGTTATTGAAATTATTGATTCGAAAGAGGATAGAATTAAAGCCATTTCTCAATATAAGGGTTTACAATGTATCAAGAGCGTATAACCTTGTCCAAATATCAAGGAAATTGCCGCTAACACAGCAGCTGGTTTATTTAAATTTCTATTAAGCTATTTATAATCACGTGTGACAGGTTATCAATATCAGTTTTATTTTTTTTTTAAAAAAAACTATTCTTAATACATTAACCCTTACCCGTATCTCGAACTTTCGATTAACCCTCCTAACTTCAGTTATCTATTTTAAATTATAAATATATTTCACTCAGTTAAAAAAATTTACTTCAGTTGAACACTCTCTTGAATAAATAACAAAAGCCCCTGCGCCCAATTGGAATAGGGCCTGAGCGGATTTAGGATTTAACGCTACGCTAAAATCGCTCGAACGCTCCCCATTAGGACACAAGGATAGTAGAAACAATTAAGAAAAATTTAGGGCAAAATATTACATTCTAATACAAGTAGGCAAGTAGATGAGGCTATATAGAAAAGATTTTAAAGGCGCAAGCAAAATATTAAAAAAAAAACAGGAGAAATTTTTAACGAGCCAAAGTTATATTTTTTTTGTTGTTGTTTAGGATATAAGATTAGAACTTACTCGCTCTGGTTCCTTCGACGAATTTCCAGAGTCACATCAGATGATGAGTTGGAGAAGGAGGTAGATGATAGGACAATTCAAACAAACACAAAGAGTTATTTTTGAAAAAATTAATTATAAAATTAAATCAATTTAAATTAAAATAATAAAATAGTGAAGGAATCCTTAATAGTTTTTTTTTTTTAAATTTAAAAGTATGCCTAATACGGGCCACCAAAAAACAAATACTTATTGGATTTATATTAAGCATTTGAAGTTGTAAAAAATATTTTAAAAAAAACTTACTTGAGTCAGGCTTGTAGAGTAGCGTTGTTAAACAGCGCGATTAACTCAATATTATATCCAAAAAAAAATATATTATGCAAGTCTGAAGATTTTGGTCATAGATGCCATAAAAGGGTTGGTGGACATCTTTTAGCGAAATCTTGAGGTTTAAGGCAAAATTTTACTGGCTAGAATATTGAGTTCGCCGTTTTTAAAAAAATCGGCTCAATCGAGCCGTCTAACAACGGCCGCATTCATAGTGGATCCGATTCGACACGATTTAACAGCTGATCGTTTTTTAAAATCTGTTTATGAGATCAATTTTTTTTGTAATAATATTAATTTTGTCTTTAAATCTTATACATGATAATAACCTAAGAAATGTTGGTTTTAATAAAGAAAAATTGATTCTCATAAACCGATTTTTAAAATCGATCAGCTGTTAAATCGTGTCGGGTCGGATCGGATCCACTATGAATGCGGCCGAAGAGTATCATCTCAAATTAATGAATAATGAGAGTTTTAAGAGAAAAAAAAGCCGATTTGGGTCGATTTTTATAACCGGCCAGATTGAGGGTTTCTCCAAAATAATGTTAAGTGAGCATCGAGATTTCGCTCATTGGCGGTAGAAAGGTTTGAGATCACAATCTCCAGAATCTCGGGGCCTTACATAATACCATTTCGGATAAAATCATAAAAAAAATCGACCTAAGAGGGTTATTAACAACGTTATGCGAAACTATGTAGTAACCAGAGACGCGGCAAGCGATATTCGCGGTATCGGTCGATAATTTAGTGGCCGGCCGCTTATACAAGAAAAATGATAACTAACCAATTTTTTTTTGGTAGCGTTTTTTATCCGCTAAAGTCATAGCGATGCGTCTCTGGTTACAACTGTTCAATGGATTACGAAGGGGGATGAAAAGGAATACCTTGTTTTTGCTGAGATCGCCGGATTCAAGTGGTGGCCTAATCTGGCTAAACATTCTATGGATATCCAGGGTGTTCACAAAACTCCTTGAATTTATAACAAACACAAATAATATATACAAGTTGTCCATACACAATTTATTATTTCGGGATTCGGACCCGACGCGCGAAAATAAATTTAAAAAATTTTTCTCCGATTGGTCCGATCCATATTATTTTATTTTTTTAAAAAAATATTGAATTCTTTAAAAAGTACTATATTTTTTTAACGAAATCGTGGAAATAATTTTAAGCGTTGATAAATAATAATCATAAAGTGGGGCCGAGGGGGTAAAAATTTATAATATCCCGCAAGGAAGGAAGGAAGGAAGGAAGGAAGGAAGGAAGGAAGGAAGGAAGGAAGGAAGGAAGGAAGGAAGGAAGGAAGGAAAAGGAAGAAGAATAATAATAAGCAATTTCGTTGAGTTTAAATAAAAAAATTTCAAAATTATAAGAGTATAATTATAATTTTAGTCGAGACGCGAGTCCAGTTTGAAATATATTTCGAAATCGAGGGCTGAATCCGACCAAGTCTGAGAAAATGTAAGTCAGGATCAGATTTGTCAAATGGAATTTGAGAAAGGTTAAAATTACTTTCCACGTAGCATGACGGCTTCCTCGAATTTTTTATCCGCCATGGCTTTGCCCACGGCTTGCGTACGCTGCACGCACTTCATGAGGGGAAGGCGGACAGTCCTGTTTCCATCCAGACCTTATTTCGTTAATAAAAGAACAAAAATTTTTTTTAAAAAATGCGTGAGTATATATATATATATCAGAGACCTGCAAGCCCGGCCCTAAGCCCGGCCGTATTTTAAATTTTTTAAATATACCCGGGCCGGGCCGGACCTAAAAATTTTATCCGGGCCGGGCCTAAAAATTTTTTTAAAATATATCCGGGCCGGGCCGGGCCGGGCCGTGCCTAAGATTTTTAAACCCGCCGGGCCGGGCCTTAATATTTTTTATAAAAAATTTTACATTATGAGTTATTGGTTATAAGATTATATTATATTATAGTTATGATTAATATGATATTGGGTGATGGTTAACACTACCTAACACCCACAGATCGATCTAATTATTAATTTCCTGAAAGATACCGGAAAACTCCATTTTAAATTACTTAATATATTTTAATATCTAAAATTTCAGTGCTCCCAAATTGTGTTAGAAAACTTAGAAGTTAGACTTAGAACAGTATGTATAATTATTATAAATATATTTTAAATTACTTAATATATGTTATTATCTAGAATTGCAGTGCTCCACTAATCATTATCAAATTTTGTTAGAAAAGTTAGACTTAGAACAGTTGTGTTAGAAGAATAGTTTAGAAGTGGATATATCCCATAAACAGATTTAAGTAATAAAAAATTCTTTTGAATTATTCTCTTTAAATAAAAATGTACATTGATATTTTTTAGGTTCATATATTAGTTTATAAAATCTATTTCAAATTAGATTGAATCTTTTTGTAAATAATATAAAATTTTAATAACATACTTTTTCTTATAACTATAATATTCAGTTTAAATTTATTATAATAAATAAATATAATAATTTCAATCTACATTATTTAATAAATATTGATATTAGATATTTATAATCAATGTAAGATATAAATAATTAATTAATATTTATTATCATTAGAATTAGTGATACTCAATCAATCAATTTTAGCATTCAAGAAGCTAAAGTAAAAATTAATATTAAATATAAATCTTATAATTCATATCTAAATTTTTAGAATATTTCCAAAACAATCAATAAAAGGAATATCATGGCACAAAACACTAAAGATATAATTGACAAAATTAAAAATAATATTTATTCTTTTAAAAATACTAATAATACTTTAAAATCTGAAATTTGGTCTAAATTTAAAATAATAATAGATAATAATAATAAAAAAAATATTGGCTATGTGCAATGCATAAATTGTTCAAATTTATTATCTTATAATTATAACCATGGTACATCACATTTAAAAAGACATAAATGTGATGGTAAATCTATGAAAATTAATAAATTATTTTTTACACCTGAAAAACCCACTTATAAATGTAATATGAAATATTTAAAACAAAAATTTATAGATCATTCCTTAACACTTTGCGCAAAAGATATTAGACCTTTCGAAATGATAGCTGGGAATGGGTTTCTTGAATTCAGCCAGGCTCTAGTCGATGTTGGGGCAACATATGGTAAAATAGATATCAACTCATTAATTTCACATCCCACCACTCTATCACGCCACCTTAAAGAAAAATGTAATAAAATAAGAAGCATTTTGGTTGATACTATTGCCCCAGTAATCAAGAATCGATTTATGGCTGCTTCCACTGATATATGGTGCGATAACCATAAAAAGAACTCGTTTATAACAGTTAACATGCACTATATATCAGATGACTGGAAGTTAGTGAAGAGAAACCTATTTACCGCTAAATTTAAAGAAGTGTCTAAGACTAGCCAAGTAGTTAAGGATGAACTATTAAAAAATTTTCATAATTTTAGTTTTAACAATAACGATTTTATTAATATAATTTTTGTTACAGACCAAGGTAAAAATATTATAAAAGCATTGGAGTTAAATGAACGATTAAATTGTTCTTGTCATTTATTAAATACAATTTTAAGAAATTCATTTAACTCCAAATATTTGAAAAGTAATGCCCCATTAATAAAATCAACAATAGATAATACTAAAATATTAGTGGGGCATTTAAAACAAAGTAATAAATGCCAGCATTTAAAAGCCCTTTATCAAGATATAGAAGTCCGCTGGAACTCTAAGTACAATATGCTCAATTCTGTTTATTCTCAAAATGAAGAAATTAAAAAAGTTCTTCTAGAACATGGGGGATCGGAAAAGTATTATATTATAGACTTTCCGATCCTTCAGGATCTAGTCAACATTCTTGAGAATTTTAACAGAGCTATTGTTTAGTTACAGTCGGACTCTTGTACTCTTTTTAAAGTGGTAATATGGTATTATGAACTTCTTGAAGTTTGTAATACCTTTCAAAGCGAAAAAAGAGAAATAAAATTGATATTACTTAATATAAAGCATTTTTTAATTGAAAAATTTGTTTTACACAAGTATCATTTTATTTCTCTTTTTCTCTGTCCCAAATTCAAACAATTACGTATGTTGTCAGGGACAGATCGCAAGATGGCGGAAAACTATATAAAAGATTATATTAAATCACAAGAGGCTCAGGAAGTAAATGAAATACCATCGACCAGTCAAATTACGACTGTTGTTAAACAAACTGAGTCGTTTTATGACAAATGGGGCGATGGTAATTCTGGTAATATCTCAATACCCGATGATGAATATTATAATTATATAAACAAAAAAACAGATGAAATATTTAAGGTGGATAATTTGTTAGAGTGGTGGGCTTCTCATCAAAGCGAATTCCCAATTTTAGCAAAATTGGCAAAACGGGTATTGGCTATTCCTGCTTCAAGTGCAAGCTGTGAGCGGAATTTTTCCACTACTGGAAGAATTCTTGAAGAAAGAAGAAGTAATCTTCAACCTGAAAAGGTAGATATGCTTCTCTTTCTTCATGATAATTTGTGAATTTTTAATATCTTTCTTGAGTATAGGGTTTCGTCAATCATGCTGGTTTTTTACTTTGCAAACTGTCAAATATTTATTGCATTTATTATATTTTACCTTGAGTCATGAAAGTTTTTTATTATTTTTTTTACAATATATTATATAATACAATTATCTTCTTTTGTTAAAAATTTATATTATTAAATAAATTATATTAATTTGTGCAATTTGATTATATTTTCAAAATACTATTTATTATACATGCATTTTTTTAAATAGCGATTTATTTTTACTTTATAAATTAAATAGTAAATTAAATACAATATATTATATTGTCAAAATATTTTCCATTTTTATAAATTATATATTAGTTTTATTATTTTTAAATGCAATATAAAATATAGTATATGCTCAAAATATTATTACCATTTTTATGAATATTAGTTTTATTTTAAATGCAATATAAAATATAGTATATGCTCAAAATATCCATTTTTATAAATAACAGTTTTATAATTTTTATAAATTTAATATAATATTCTCAAAATATTAGCTTTTTACATGTATTTTTTAAATAAAAATTAAAAATCACAAATAGAATCTTTTATATTCAAAAATATTATTTGCACAAATTTTTTATAGTATTCTGAATAAAATATGAAATATACTTATATCCGGGCCTTAAATTTTAAAATCCGGGCCGGGCCGGGCCGTAAAAAATTTTTTAAAAAAATATCAGGGCCGGGCCGGGCCTTAAATTTTTTAATGCCGGGCCGGGCCGTAAAAAATTTTTTAAAATATCCGGCCGGGCCGGCTTAAAAATTTTAAAACCGGGCCGGGCCGGGCCGTGCAAATGGTACCTCTGCAGGTCTCTGATATATATATATATAAATTCAAACAAAAAATTTATTTTAGTAATGATTGGTCGATTCTTTAAAAAAAAATCACGTGATTTCCCTACCGGTTAAAAGGAATAACTTTGATTGGTTAATTACCTATGACGCAAGCCTCGCTCTCGGATGAGGGATTGTTTCCGTAATCCATCAAAGCGAGCACCGCCTCGGCTCCCATTCTGCAACCCTTTCATGTTTGTGTTTTTAAAATTATAATAATTTTTAATGTGTATTTTGAAAGCTATAAATATAAAGGGTTGATAGAATTATAAGAAATATATAAAATCTTTTGTTTCTCTTTCTTTTAGGGCTGTTGCCGATAGAACAAATTTTTCACCGATCAGATCCGATCAGGTATTTATATTTTATTTTATTTTACCATCTATCTTTGCATCAATGTCATATTTTTTTTTAAAGTTAATATTCTCATTTATAAAATATTTTGAAATGTTTATGCGCGAATGTAGTGTGGTTAAACAGATCCAGTTAGCCGATTTTTTAAAAAAGGGCCAAATCAAATATTTTAGCCAAAATAATCATAACCTATGCCTCAAAATTTCGCCAAAACGGCTAACTCAGTATTTCTTCCAGAATGATATCGCGCAAAGCCCAAAGATTTTGTTTGTAGAAGGAACAAAGGTTTGAACAATCTATTCGGGGAATCTCGAGGCTTAGGAAATATTTCTGGCTAAAATATTGAGTTGCCGTTTAACAACACTTAGTCCAAACCTTCCTCATATATACGGCGGAAAAAAATCAACGAGCATGGGATTCATAACTCTTGGCCAATGTCTTGAGTTAACCGTTCTTAAAAAATTGGCCAAACCGAGCCGTTTAGCAACATTGATCGAACGAACGTGACCCGTTAGGTATTCAAAAATCCTCTTTTTTTTGATGCAGATAATATGACCAAAAAAAAAATAGTGTAAAACTTTAAACTATTTTTTTTTTAAACATTACAAATTTTTAAAATAAAAAAAAATAATTTAATATGATTATATTTACAATTAATTGTAAAATAACAAAAAAACAATTTATAAAAAAATATCGGATCGAGTAAAAAAGATCGACCCGACTCGACCCGATACTTTTTGAAAAACGATACATTTTGGTGCCGATCCGATATTGAATATCGGCACAACCCTAATTTCTTTACTGAAAAGATTCGAGTAAAGAAGTCCAAAAAATAATTAAAATTGACCCCCCGTGATGAAAAAATAATTGAAGACCTAAAATGGATGGTTTTTTTTAAAAAATAATTAATTTATACTAAATATTGACCGTAACCAAAATTAGTATATAAAACTCATACGCTCAAACACGTTTTTGGTGATTGGCAGGTGCTCTTCTTCTTTTTTTTTTAAAAAAAACGATTTATTTTTTTAAGTGCTATCGATAACTAACCAGTAATCTATCAAAGGCCGAAGCGTTCCCGCCTCTCTGAACGTGACCTAGAATGGTGACGCGCGTATCGAATTTCAAGTTTTTAATTATCACCTGTATTATTTTTTTTTTTTGTAGAATCGAATTATAAAATATAGATTTATTTTTAAATTAACCAATCGGGTTAAATGATATTCGAATCATAAGAAATAGATATTCCAACATAATAGTTATATAAATTCGCACTCAGAACATTCTATCAAACGCACTCAAACCAAGATCACGCAAATATTTTAAATGATGTAAGTTCTTTTATAAAAAGAAAGAAAAAAAACAAAATGGTGGATATTTATTAACTAAAAGTGATGGGGATGATATAAAATCAAAATAACAAACAAAAAAAACTTGATTTAGCGTGCAATTGTTATACGGCATTGTTAAAAGACTCAATTTGAGCCGGCATTTTTAAAAAGGCTAACTCAATATTTTGTCCAGAAAAAAATATTATGCAGGAACTGAAGATTTTGTTCATAGATGGCACAAAGGTTCGTACATCTATTAGCTAAATCTCGAGGCCCGGGATATATATTTTCTGGTTAAAATAGTGAGTTGGCCGTTTTTAAAAATCGGCCTAAATCAAGCCATTTAAGAACATTAGTTATACATTTTTAAAATATAATAGAAAAAGACAATGTTTGATTTAAAAAAAAATGAACACAATCAAAAAAAGGGGTTTATTACGAAAACTAAGGGTTGCATTTAGCCGAAAAGGGGTCGTAACCAGAAAAAATCATATGCATGTCAAGGCATAGCAGATCATAGCGCATGCGCATGGAATAGGAGTAGAATCAAGGGATTTATGTGATAACAATTGGTCATAAAAAAATGGAAATTTAGCGCGTGCCTAGAGCGAAATATGGTGAGGATCTAAAGCATGCTGGGACAGCCTAAATTTAATAGGAGCAAAACTTTTTTTTCTTGCGCCCTGCCTAAAATATAGAGAGAGGGGGAGGAATGAATTTTCACGAACGTCGAATAAAAATTTTTCCAGGCGAATATCGAATATCTCCGTAAATTTGTATATAATAATATAATATATAAGCATTTAAATTTAAATAAAGGTTTCAGCGCGATTCAGGAATATCATTTCATTCAATTATATATAATATATATAAATATATGTATATACTTTCTTTCTTTTTTTAAATATTTATTTAATAAATATTAAAATAAAGATATAAAATATTTCCCAATTAAGATAACCAAGAAAAATTGCCCCCAAATCGTGTGATGTTTTTATAAATATTATTTGATTTTATTTTTTAAAAAAAATAAAATTTTTTCAAAAAAAGAAGAAGGAATTATAATAATACAAAGAAGATTTGAATAAATAGAATTTAGGTATTCCATCATCACGTGTTTCTTTCGTTCGTTTGGATCAGCCGGAATGGGTTAGCGATTTAGTTGGCAAAGATTCGTAGATGGCTGATCAGCAACGACCTGTGTATAAGAATAAAAATATCCCATTCCACTATAGTGGGTGAAGTTGATTATATAATATGTGAGTTATAAAGAGAGAACAAAAAAAAATGGGTTTCTTTTTAAGAAAATTATAAGTGATTTTTTAAGGGGGGTTAAATTTAAAAATATAAACGATTGCATACGTCATGTTCATGTTTACATACAATGGAACAAACATCGAATTCATATGAGCTATTAGCAGTGGCGTAGAAACGGATAGAGGGGGTTGGAGATTAAACCATCCCATTCCTCCCCATGGAAAATATTAGGTAAAAAAAAAAATTGTAAACTAATTAATAAATTAATAAGTACCAATCAGTCAGATGCCAATCTTGGCATTTATTTTCTTATTTTGTCAATGATGCGCTTTTCTATAAACAATCTATCAAACATTTTGAAGCACTATTATTAAAAGTTTCAGAGTTTCCAGATGTTAGGCCCATCATGCTTAAAGCGTGACATTTCATTAAGATTATAACTCGATTTGATAAAAAAAAATTTTAAATAAATAGCCTTCAGCTACCAATAATTGCCTTTCCATTATATACTGGCTATTACTATATGCTTAAAGTACTCATAGGCACTAATAAACCACGAAACGCTGGCATAGATTTAGGTGCTATATAATCAAAATTTTTCATAGGCGGTACCCGGCCATAGCCCCCCCCCTCCCAATTTTTCTTAACCCCTCCACTGAGATAAATCCTGACTACGCCACTTGCTACTAACCTATATCACACAATCATACATCCCCATTACATCAATGTAACTTAAGAAAACATACTTATCAAACGATCAACTGCAAACAATATCACATAAACGTCATATTTAATAGCTACTAACTACACATTCATATATATTTTTTTTATTGAAGGATGGGAACATACTAGTTATTCATTTTTCATTTTAAGAAAGTAGTGTACAATTTTTTTTCAAATTTGAATTATATCAAAGAGTTAGAATCAAGGTGTATTGTTAAACATCTTATGGTTGACTGGAGTTTGGGGGTATAATAAGGGTTAGATGGGAGGGGGGTACTTGATGAGGGCAATTTTTCTCGTTATTGCTGTTAACGTATTTGGTAATTACGTCTTTAATCTGATTGGCCGTAATTGGATTACCGTTCAAGTCTTGGGCTCCTTCAGCCAGGATTATGATATTCAGGCGTTGGCCTAGCTTCCTTTCCTGGATATTTTTTTTTAAAAAAGTTATTTTAATTCAATTTATTTCCTCTCTTCGGTAACATGATTTAAATGATTTTGGTCCAACTTTATATCTTTAATCACATGACCTATCAGATTCGACAAGTTATTAATAAAAATGATTAAATCCTTTTAAAAACCCTCTCTAATATACCTTACCCTTAACCCATATCTCATATGCCTTTAATTAATCTTAACCCATATCTTTCTAACCTTTAATCCTACTTATTCGTTTAACTTTATATACATTTCCTTTCAATGTATATAAATTTCATTAAGTTGGATTATTGCTATATATTTGGTATCGCAGTTTTTGACAACGAAATCATTTTTAAATAAATCTTGAATTTAAAAATTTACTGTAAAACGAAATATAAATATAGGGATGAATGAATGTACCAGTACATCTGAATGAATGATTAAAAAGAGACCTGAGCCAATCTACTGCACATATCTTCTTCCCAATTGGCGGGCGGCGGGCTTTCGGGTATAAATACGAAATCCGCTTCCGTCGCTATGGCCGACACGAGTGCCAAGTAACTGATTTTACATAACGATAAAACGGGCGTAAAAATTTAATTTTATAAATTAATTGATTCCATCTAGTGAGGGTTAACCAAAACCGGCTCGAACAGCTTCATAATCTGAAAATATTTTTCGAAAAAAGTAGTCGGCCATTTTGGTAGATAAAACTAGATTTCATTTGGTATCTAAATCTGATCGGAATGTAGCCGACATTTTATTCTTAAAGAAAATTAATTTTTTCCCCAAATGATCTCATAAGCGCATGCGCATAATGATTTGGCGGGAATTCTGCGAACGAAATTTATTCGTTTAATATTCACTTCACATTGAAAATCGATTTTTTTTTAAAATAAATAAATAATATATTTTTTTTTTCTCGCATACCCACAATGTCTACCCATGACCTCCATAACGAAACACCTTTGATGACTAATTTTTTTAAAAAAATATATTATTAAAAAATAAGATATATTCTTTTTAATATAAGGCACTCACTTATACACCCCATATGATGTTAACCCAAAATTGATCATGTAATCAATAACAGTTATGGGATCGGTTTGGGGTGAATACAGGAATTTAATAATAATCAAATAACTTAATTGAGAGAATCTATGGAATTATTGTGCGATTAATCTGATACGAAGATGCTAACTGATTTTCCTCTTCCATCCATCCCCTCCCACTTTCTGGCTAGTTTCCAAAAAACCTCTCTTCCATCCCTGCCGCCGAGCCAAAAAAAGAGACCTGAAAGCGGTGGTCGCGATTGCATCTACAGCCTCTACAATCCTGTGGAGGGCGGAATCGGCTCCTATAGTCATATCGGTCCCACAAAAATCGTTGTCTATGCTTCCTACCATACCCACGATGTGCAAGTCCTTACACATATCCCGTTCAGTTTGGGTTATTTGGCCTTTGTAAAAAGAGGGGTAAAATTTGTATACAAAATTATTTACAAAAAGCAACATAGAGAGGAACAAGTAATTTTCAAGTTTTATTCATAATAAAATGAGTACATAGACAAAATAGAGCGGAGAAAAATAAAACAAATCAGAGTTTGAAAAAAAAATAGGGAAAATCTTTCAAAAAAAAAATTTTGATGGCATTTGTGGGTGAAATTAGATCAAAAATCTTTCCCCTGACAAATGATCGAATTATGGATGGGCCAATAGTATGGCGGAGCATTTTGGCGCATTTATTTTTTTTAGTTAAATATTATTATAACCGGTCTTGAGTAATTCTTCCGACAAATCGTTCCACTCGTTTTTGAAAATGTTGGCGCCGGTTAGGGACCCGTCCCCACCTATGCATACCAAGTTAGTTATCCGGTTCTTGATCAGGTTTAGCGCCGCCTTTAATCGGCCTGGACGCCCTATAAAATCTTTGCATCGGGCGCTTCCTATAATAGTTCCACCCTGAGAGAATTTATTTTTTTTTTAAACGGAAAAATTATTTTAAGTAAGAGGAGAAATGGTTCAACTAATTTTGGTCGTTATCAAATATGTGAACACGGTAATTTTAATTCCTATCTCATCTTAATATATTTTTTTTTCGTTTTTTTAAACCCCTTTCATATTTGAAAGATTACATTAGTGTATATTTTATAATGCATTATTTCATTGATTCGTATCTTATTTCTTTCTTCCCCAAAAAGGCTATTTAGGTATGAGGCAAAAATTAAGAAATTAAATATCACAATTGATGGTTTTAAATGTGGAATTTGTGAAATAAAAAACAAGAACAAAAAAAATAGTGAGTTAACTACATCCCGTCAAAAATGGTAGATGGTCTACTTATCAACGGTTATCTATCCCCATATATTTTTCATAGCTCAATTGGATGGGTATGCGAGAGTCTAGTATAGTTTTGTTTTAATTTATAACTTGTAAGCAGGGGTTCGAACCGAACCGAACCGCAAAACCGGAATACCGTTATGATTTTCTGAACCGTAACCTTAACCGAACCGTTATGAAGAAAATATTAAAAGAGCGAACCGAACCGTTATAAATATTTTGAACCGGTTTAAACCGGTTCAAAACGGTTTTAAAAATAATTAATTTTAAATTATTAACCTAAATTTAATATTTTAATTTTCCTGAAGTATATCAAAAACTTAATTCGTTAAAATTAGATATAGCAACTAGATATGATAGGTCCATATTGGGGATCAATATTCAATTTATAAATAAGGGAAAAATAAAATTAAGGACTCTATGCATGAAAGTGATTAAAGAACGACACACATCAGAATATCTTAAAAAAATTATTCTAGATGTTCTAAAAGAATATGAAATAAAAATTGAGCAGATTTACACAATAACCACCGATAATGCAGAAAATATGATTAAGTTAATTAAGCTATTAATACTACACGATGAAGAAGATGATGACCTTAACGATTATTTAATTAATGATGATTTAAATAATAATGATATAGATAATGACGATTTAAATAATAATGATATAATTCATGATGAAAATAAAGAACTTTTTAATATTGAAAATATTAATCTTGCACCAAATGCCAGATCCATATTAATAGGTATTAGATGTGCTTCACATACATTTCAATTAGCAATTAATGATTGCATTAAAAATTCAAATGAAATTGTCATTATAAATAAAGCAAGAAACATCTGCAAAAAAAATAAGAAATCAGACAACAATGGCTATTCTCTCAAAATTAAATTTGAAAAAACCACTAATAGATTGTTGCACAAGATGGAACTCTATCTATTTAATGTTGGAGAGATTACCAGAGTTAAAAAGCTTTTGCCAAGAAATATCGCTCCAAAGCGATCGCGAAAAATGTTTATCAGAGAATGAATGGAAAATAATTAGTGACATATTAAAAGCTTTATATCCAGCTTATGTTTTGACAAAATATTTACAAAGTGAACAATTGACAATGGGAGATTTTTATGCTGCGTGGATCAAATGTCTCATGCAAACGAGTAAAGTAGACACTCCATTTGCCAGACTTTTAGTTTCTACGATGAAAGCACGAGAAATAAATTTCAAAAATGAAGTTTTTTTGCTCTGCTATTTATCTCGACCCTAGATATAATGTATTTTTAACTTTTGAAGAAAGAGAGATCGCCAGAAAACATCTTTGTAAAACTTGGAACTTGATACAAAATCTAAATAATCAGAATATTGAAATTAAATACTATGCCTACGTGTTCGTATTCGAAGGATAATTTAGATGATGATTTTGAAGATTTATTAAAGTCGCATGAAAGTCTTAATAAGAATAATTCTCAGGGCATCGAAAATTATAATAAATGTATAGAAATAGAATATATAATTCGGTCATTTGATAATATAGAGAGATGAGAAAAAGATACTAATCTTTTGAATTATTGGGAAAATGTAAAGAATAGTATGTCAGAGACTTTATAAGTTAGCTATAACTGTGCTAGCAATTCCAGCTACGCTGGTCTCCGTAGAAAGAGCATTTTCAAGCCTTAAGTTTATACTCTCTGCCCAGAGAACTAAATTAAATCCTAAAATATTAGAAAATATTTTAGTTATCCGTTCGAATTCTCTTTTTAAACCTAAATAGTATAGTATACATATTATTTTATTCATTATTGTATTTACGCATGTTTGTTTTTATCTTATTTATTTATAAAATAAAAAAAAACTAATTTGTCTAATTTATATTTCCTAAATTTAATAAAAATATCTATTAGATTATCATGGATAAATTAAATAAGAAATTATAAACTAAAAAGATTTTTCTCTAAAATTAATATATACATGGTTAATGATTAATTTTTTTTTAAATTAAATTTATAAAAACCGGAAAAAACCGAAAAGAACCGTTATAAATTATAAACCGAACCGATATGATTTTTTTTTAAAAACCGAAATGGAACAAAACCTTTATAAAATTTTAAACTAAAAACCGGAACGAACCGAACCGTGATACTAAACGGTTCGAAACCCTGCTTGTAAGGGTTATAGGCTTTAAAATGGATTTTAAAAAACTGTTCCTCTCCTGATACACTTTTATTACTTCTTCCAGTTCTCTTGTATAAACCTCCCGCCCCTAGCATTGGAACCCTTTAAAAAATAACTCATAATTTTTCATTCAATTTGGCATGCATCATTGGGTTTATGTAATAAAAATAAAATGAACACTACATTATGACTCCCAGTTTCTCCTCTAACCTAAACACACGGCCCCGATTATAACACCCGAAAGATTTAAAATTATGTCTAATCTGTGAATCAAAGTTCTTAAAGGTTTTGTAAAAACTTCGAAGACATTTTTTGTGTGAAAGTATATTTTGTCGGGTCATGGATTCTATAGGTTTACGTTAAATCTTATAATAAAAAAAACATCATTTGTGGTAATGATAAAATCTACTACTATTATATTTTGTTGATAACATTACTACTAAGATTGAGAAAGAAAGAAAGAAAGAAAGAAAGAAAGAAAGAAAGAAAGAAAGAAAGAAAGAAAGAAAGAAAGAAAGAAAGAAAGAAAGAAAGAAAGAAAGAAAGAAAGAAAGAAAGAAAGAAAGAAAGAAAGAAAGAAAGAAAGAAAGAAAGAAAGAAAGAAAGAAAGAAAGGAAAGAAAGAAAGAAAGAAAGAAAGAAAGCAAGAAAGAAAGATAGATAGAAAGAAAGATAGAAAGATTTCAGTTTTATGTAAAAAAAATACCAGGAAATCTGAACAGCAACGATTATCGGTTCGGTTCAAATTTAGATAAAAGAAAGTTCCCCCAAAAAATTTATCGGCAAAAACCCTGTCTAAACATTTTAACGATTATGTAAAGAGAAGAGGCACATTTTTTTTTAAAAAAATTTTTTTACCACAATTCCTCGAAATATTAAAATATTTTGTAGATTCTCTTCTGCCAAATTATCTCTATAACGAGAAAACATATATCCTGTGTTTTGGGAAAACTTCTCTACGCCAAATTGGGTAGTTGGCAGTATCAAGGAGTCATGTATACAAAAATATCTAAAAATAGACATTTGATACATATCAAACAAAAATGATTGTTGATTAATCATCTTAAAGAGAGTTTGAATATAACGAAAGGTTCAAATCGGTTTGCACACCTTCTTAAAGGTTCGGTTCAAGTTCGAGCGGCAAATTTTTTAAAAATCAGGGGTTAGGTAAATTATAACTGGGTTAAAAAATATCGCTTTAACGGTTTGGGTCAGTTTGAATCCACGAAAAAAATATTAATTTAATTAAAATCTAACATTTTTTAACATTAAAATTGTTCTAATGATCTATTTCATTCGTAGTCTTCGAGACAATCTTTTTTAAAGAATTGTAATGTGATTGGAAATTAATAATTGCAAGAGAAAGAAGCCATCCTTACGTCATTCTAAATATTCCATTTAAAAGATAAGAAACAGTTATTCGTTACATTTTATATATTTAATTTGTGTGTATTTAAACAACCAGGAATTCTAGTGCCCACCTCCCATCCCTTTTATTATTCTTACCTTGGGTAATCAAGTTTTGTTGGCGTTCTTGCAAAAAAAATAGGTTCCATGTGTGCCCTTCTTAGGACAGGTCATATGGACCAATGTGCTAAATGAATGAATGATAAATACTCCTCAGAATATATTATATAAACATAAACTGACAAGTTTTTCTTGTAATTTAAATCATATAAATAGATTTCTTTTAAATAAGAGAAAAAAATATAATAATTTTTTTGCCAACCCTGTGAAATAAAAAATTTGTTTTATTAATAGAGATGGGTTCCTTTCATATTTGTCAAATAAAAAGAATAAACCTTCATAAATTGAATAAAAGAATCTACATGATTTTATAATTAATGGGGATTCAGATATAATTATTGAAATTTTATTTAATTTAACGTATATATTTTATTGGAATAAGAGTATCGCCTCTGATGGCGATACTCTGATAAAATTTTGTTAACTTTCTCTTTATATTTTTTTTATTATTATAAAATTAAATTGAATCAAAAGTTTATATAAAATGAAAAGGTCATTTTTACAATTTCTTTAATGTAATAAATATCATCAGTCATTTACATAAAAATTAATACATCTGTTAAAATAAATCACTTTATCAAATAAAATATACAATAAAAAAGTGTACATTACAACAGTTCCTAATTTATTTATTTTAAAAATTGGATGAGTTAAAAAAAAAATTGGATGGCAGAGTAGTTCAAAACAATGGGTGGGTAGGGTTTATATATTTTTATTAATAAAAAATTTGAAATAAAACAATGACTACATTTATAGGTTATAACTTTTATTGAAACCTTTTTTAAATAATAATCCAGTATTTACATTTGGGTTTTGATATAATTAAGTTTTTTTAAAAGATATAATTTAATAAATTTTTTAAAAAGTAATTTGTAAATTTTGTGCAAACTTTAGAGAAGAAAAAACTGGTATCAAAATTATATGACAATAATTATATGTATTTTTTGTAACCTGTTGAATGATACCAGACACTGATGCCCAGGTGGCTTCGACAATATTTTCACCTCCATCAACCATACCTTGGTAACCCTTTATTATTTTATTTTAAAATAAAATGTTGAGGTGAACATTATCATAATAAATAAATATCATTTTAAGATACGCCCATTAAACTATATAAAAAAATAAATATGCTTTATTATGATTTTTAAAAAAAACTTTGGGTATTAGTATTCAATAAGAACTCGGATAATTTTTTTATCTAATAAATGGATTTTTTGATAGTATTTATTTAGAAAATCCAAGTATTTTTCAGATTAAAGATAGAGTAGGATATAATTAAAAAATATTTGAAATCGATAGTTTCTATATATAATTATATATATTGTTTAGGGGTAATAAAAAAAGTTCTTAATTCTTATAACACTGAATAAAATAATAAAAATAATATGGAAATGGCATTAGAAAATATTACTTCTTTAATGAAAAAGACACGACAACCTAAATAGACACCCATTCTAACAACAGCACGCACTGCTGAGTTCATTCCTAATTTAAATAGGATATACAAACGAATAATTTATTATGATACTAAAAAAATTATTTTATGTGCTAATGGTATATTTATGTAAATACTTTAAAAATAAATATTTAAAATTCTTTAATGTCTTTTGCATATTCACTATATAAGAATTTATATTATTCTCGATTTAAAACTCTTAAATTATATATAATTTTATAATTTTACCCTGTGAATCTCCTCCACTTGTGAATACCCCAATCGTTTTTCCGATGTGAGAATCTTTGGCGACTATAACACCCTCAACTTTTCCTGGTTGAGGACATATGCTTTCTTGCCTATTTCTCATGGCGTCCATCATTTAAAAATAATAAATTTTTTATCCTTTATTTCACCTCCTTCAATTTTTTTTTTTCAATTAAGCGAATATAAAATTTCAGAACATTAGGAAAATGTTCACTAGAAAAATAAAATGATATGAATAACATATGATCAAATTCTAATTTAAATCTTTCAAAAACACTTCTGTCAAGCCGTATATTATTATCTCAATAAATAGCTAACCTTATTCAGTATAGTTTAAGACCATGTTCATTTGTTTGATTCTTTAACTTTTATCCCAGTTAATTGGTACTAGAATAGGACTAGAGCAACTTTTAAACAAAGTTATTACTATTAGAATAAGGGCGATTTAAATCTTTTACTGTGACCAAGCTTTATTTCTTAATTCACTTCTTTCTCTCCCTCTTATTAATTTTAATGTTCTAAAAATAGAGGCTTTATTCGCCCCCCCCTCCTCCATAAATCAATCACCCTTTTACCCCCTCATAAATATGTTAGCTCTACTAATCTACTCTAATATTTTATATCCTAAATAATTTTACCTCAACCCATAAAAATTTTACCCTTCTAACCTCCTTTAAATCATAATTATTTAAAAATAAATGAAAATTACCAAAAAAATAATAGCAAAAATCAGACTAAATTTAAAGATGACATGGACCATGTTATGTTTAATGGTATATAAATATATAGATGTACATCATTGGGCATATTTGCCCGAATTTTTATAGTCTAATAGTTTTAAATTTAAATAATATTGTTATATAAAAAAAAATTAATTAATAATATGTTTTGAAATAATCGAATAAAAGGGTAATATTTTTTAATTATTCGTAATAAAATAATTCCCACATTCCATATGATCAAATTATTATACACGAGGTGTATATATAAACATATCATATGTGGTCATTTCTTGCTAAGGGACCCTCAAAAGAATTATCAAAATATGATATAGGAGAGATAAAATTGATACCTAATGAATACTCATTTTGGACAATTCACAAAGGAAAGAACAAAGTATTATAAAGTTGATAATATGACATATATTTTTTTGCAGGCAACTGGTGATGAAGTATCAATATTTGCTTTTGAGTTCAAAAGTCACAATGAAAATGAAGTAATAATGTTAAGACCTGCTGCATATTTTTAATATATACAGATAAAATTGGCTAAAAATGCCTACAAACGATTGAAAACTTTACGGCATCCTGGATTATTAACCTTCCTTGATGGCTTTGAAGTTCAAAATATATGTTAATATTTTTCCATAATATAAATAATGCAAATAAATTATTTTCAGCATTGAAAATATTTAAACCAATAAGTTTTAGATTTGTAGAGATATTTGTTTAATTTAGGTAGCAATTATCTATATCTCTAATTAATAGAAGAATTAACTGTTAAATTAGATTGATAATTTTTATTCAATGTATTTTTTTTAAAAGAGAGCCCTTAAATGTTTAATACAAAATTCTTTGATATAACACTTTTTCCAGAATGATTCCTGCATATACATAGTAACAGCTGCAATTGAACGACTATCAACCTCTTTATATGATCAGCCAAATAATCCTTCAAAATTTACCAAATCAACATTTTCATCGAGCGATTGGGGTCTTTTCAAACTGGCATCCCTGTTAAATTTCCTCAACTGTGATTGCAATATGGTACCTATTTATTTGCTCTTTATAAAGCTATTTAGAAATTATTCAGGGGAAAAAATAAGCATATGAGACATAAATTAGAGACCAGGTGTTGGCCAAAATTTTAGGCCTACACTGAATTTGAAAACAAATTTGATCTTTTTGGCATGACTCATATTTTACAATTGATTTTTTTTTGGCCTGGTCAGAATTTAAAAAATTTTGCTATATTGAATAATTTTGCAAATTGTTTTGAAGGGAAATTGAAATATGAGCATTAAATAAACATAAAACACTCCATTACATTATTTTTATACATTTTTAAATTAATTGATTGCTATCATTTAATTATTTTTTAAATCAACTGCGCCAGGATTTTTAATTATTATTTTTAAAATTTTTTTAACCAGTCTCAGATTTTTATCTTTGAATATTCTTTAATCCGGCTCAGTCCAGATTTATCAAATCATCCCATTTTTTGTCCAAATCCAGGTTAGGTTTAAAGACTGGGGTGGGCTGGGCCTGCATGTCTCTAATATAAATCATTCTCATTATGTTGTTTTAGTTTTTTAAATATTAGCATTCTTGTTGAAATTGAAATTCATTTCCATAGATTATAAAAACGAAGAATATTTAAATTATACCTTTTTAAAATTTAGGTTCACAATAATATATCCTCTCAATCAATCTACCTTGATAAAGCAAGTGAGTGGAAACTATTTGGTCTTGAATCAGCTTACAATTTAAAATCAACTGATAATAGTGGAACCATGACTGTACCCACTAAGCCCAGAGTTTTAGTTAAGTACGAGCCTCCAGAAATTTCCAGAAACCCTAACTATTACATAGAAAATTCTTCAAATCCCTCCTGGTAATAACAATAATATTTATTTTTAATGAATTAAAGTCTGTTCTGCTCATTTCGCCTGAAAAATATCAAAAATTTACTCGCCCACGCCAGCCCATTACTTAAGAATTGACTCTCCCGCCACGCCCAACCATTCAAAGTAAGGGCGGGCGGGCGAAAAATTTGCCTAATGCAGACCTCTATTCCTCGTCTTAATCTATTTATTTTGGGGATTTTAAACAGCCTGAATTTATATATATTTCTTTTCTTTCATTACTTTGATTTTATTTAAGTATCATCCCACACATGTTGTCTGGCTTATGAGACACAAACGAGATACATGTCACTGTCAGATGCTTTTACCGTAAGAAAGAAGGGAAGTGGGCAGGTTAATTTGGTTCCACTCAGTACTAATAACGTTTGTAAATATAAGCTGACATGGATTGTTCTTATTGAAAAGTAAAAGGAATGAGTTACATAGTTAACCTAGATTAAAGTAAATAATGGTTGAGAATTTAAATGGGTGAAAAAGTTTTAGAGAAATTACAAAACTGAAAGGGAGACAAACAGGAGAGAATGATCAGGAACTTAATATTCCTCTTTTTATTTAAATCTCGAAATTCAAAATAGGTCCATTGATATTTGGGGATTCGCTTGCCTAATATGGGAAGTCTTCAACGGGGAACTCAAGCAAAAATCTCAGCTGAGCGACACATCAAAAGTATTATATTGAAAACATTATTTTTTTTGTTCAATCCAATATTTTATCCCAAAAAATATTACGCAAGCAAGACTTCGTTTTAGTAGATGCCCAAAACTTTCTGCCATCTATCCAGAAAAATTTACAGGCTTGCGTTATATATTGGGTTGGCGGTTTTTTTTATAAATCTGGCTGTTTAAAAACACTGGCTTTAATCAGATGCATAGAGAAAAAATAAAGGGTCTAGAAGGAAAGAAAGGAAAGAGTAAATTTGCTTAGCCCCAAGTGGCAACTACTTATAATTACTATTATACGGAAATCACAATATTTATCAGGAAACTTGGGATTTATCCTATATATATTTTATATATCTATTTATTGATATCGCGATTTAAACATGTTTAAGATACCCAAAGACTTGGTACCCCTTTACTGCGAAATGATGAATAGCAACCCCAAATCGCGGTTATCCCCTGCCCAATTTCTCGAAAAAAGTCGTTCCGGAAAAACCGGTTACCTAAACACCCCTTGCTTATCGGCCATGATATTTTTGGACGAAATTCAAGTGACTCATTTTTTTTTAATTTTTGAGAAAAGTTTTATTAATTATATAAGTAAGTAAATAGCAGATAACGATTTATAAAAAAGAAACGGAAAGAGATATATATATTATTGATATTGATACATTTGTATTATTACAGGGTGGAGGGCAACCACCATCATTAATGGCTTGATTATAATAAATTTTGTAAAGAGCAGCGGTTGAGCCAAGGCTTGTATGCATGTAATAACTTGCTTACTTTTTTTTAATGTATAAATTCATTTTATTCGAAAAAGATGAAAGATTCGAACGATAAAAAGAAATTTTTTTCCACCACATTGCCCCCACTGTTGGATTCGTTTAGCCCCGATATATGTAAACACAAGATTTTGCCACAGATAGTTCAAGCTTTCGAGTATTGCGAAGCCGGAACGGCTATTCTGCCCTCCCTGATCAAGGTATAAAAGCGGAAATAGGAATCGGAGAAAAATGTAAAAATAGAATGGCGAAGATAGAAAGGGGGAGGGAAGGGAATTAGAGGAATTTTGATGAAGTAATGTTAATATATCCTAAGATGCTCATTTATTCTTTCTACCTACTATTTGAAAACAAGTTGGGCAATACCATTTCCGCTGACGCCGCCGCCTACGACAAGCTCGTAAAACCTAGCCTGATCAAGCTATTCGCCAGCACCGATAGACACACTAGGATGGCCTTGCTAAAACGCTTACCCGAGTTTCAAGATAAGTTGAACGCTCAAACTGTTAATGATCATGTGTTCTCTCCGGTTATAACCGGATTTTTTGATACTAACCCCTTGGTCAAGGAGGCCACTATCAAAGTAAGAGTTCAATTTACGTTTAATATTCTTGTTTTTAAGTAAAACGACCATATATTCTATCGATTTTAACTATGGTCCCAAAACTTTCCGAAACTAGAATATTTGATGGAAATGGGAAAGCGATCTAAAAAAAATATCTGGAATAAATTCCCTAGATTTTTCGGAAAACAGCTGATTCTAGAACCAATTATAACAGAATGAGAACGGAACACTTTTAATTTTAAAGGAATTGAAGTGGAGCCGGGAAAAGGACTACTTGATCCTTGATATAAACTTATGAAATGGGTACATAATAAATGTGGGGCATGTTGATTCAAAATCTTACTTATTTTAATAAAAGTGGTATAAAAACTTAAAAATACATTTTTTTTTAAAAAAAAAACTTATATTATCCAAAATACATCTGTCACCTTTTCAGGCTATGATATACCTGGCTCCCAAACTGAATTATAACAATTTAAACGTGGAACTGATCAAACATTTCGCTAGGCTTCAAGGCACCGACCCCCAAGGGGGTATAAGGACCAATACCACAGTTTGCATGGGCAAGATAGCTCCCTATTTCGATCCCAAGGTATTGTTACTTCATATCACAATTAATAATTCCAGGCATAAATTACAATTTAAAAATAAAAAAAATACCTCTAAAAATGCTGTATACACATATATTTTAGATTAGACAGAAAATTTTAATTTCGGCCTTCACACGCCCTTTCAAGGACGAATTCGTAGCTTGCAGGCAAGCCGGTCTTCAGGCTCTTTTAGCCACTGCTCAGTTCTATACGGTGGAGGATATAGGGAAAAAAATTTTGCCATCCATATGCCCGCTCATGCTAGATGCCGATAAGGGTGTCCGGGATTTAGTAATATCTTAGAGGATTTTGTAGTATTCCCAAAACGGTAGTAAGGAATAAAAAGATTTTTTAAAAAATGGGTTAAGAAAGGAAGGAGAAAATTGAACTGATGACTGGCATTCTCCTATTAAATATTTATTCTCATTATACTAACACATCACTCCCCACCCCCCCCCCCAACAGGCATTTGAAGTTCTAGAAGATTTTTTACGCAAATTAAAGGACGTCTCGGAGAATCCTGATAAACTAGCCGAAATAAGTATAATTGATTGAAGTCTTTAAGATAATTTTTTTTTTTTAAAAAATCCATATATTTCTTTCTTCAGCCTTTATATATTTTTTTTATCATTAAATCCCTTTTTTCTTCTCTTCTATATATAATATATATATATATATATGCTTTAAGAATCAAATATAAAAAAGATTTATCGACTATCTTCATAAGCGATCATCTTTACTATTCATTTTTTTGGCTGAGACTGTAGAAAAAAAATGTTTCATAACCAAATCATTTACATTTGATAACCTTTAAAATATTTGACTTACTCTTCCAAAAAGGATTTCGTCGTAGAATCGTCTTAGGGAATTTATAAAAAAATCCTTCTTATTAGAAATTTTTTCCATTATTTTACTTTTTACTAAAAAAAAAAATTTTTTTATAGATAATCTTGCCATGAGTACCAAATTTCCTGTCGATATCGATTCTGATCCCATTTCCGCTCCCCAGAGTGCTTACAAGATTGGCCAAGCCAGCAAAGTTGCCCTCACCTGGGTCTCCACCCTCCTGACCTCTAAGTTATATGGGAACGCCCAAAGCAACGGTTCAGGAACTTGCGATGATAAAAGCGACAAAATGACTAATAGGTATAATATATTATTATATAAAAGTTAAGGGGATTTTAAAATTCTGAAAATGAAATCTCTAGATATATTCCTTTCCTCGTGGAGATATGAGTTAAAGATGGCAAGGCATGATTTTAGCTCAATATATTCCTTTTTTCAGTTATTTAAAGCGAAAATATTTTGACTTACGTGTAGTCGCTAATTTTCCAGATTGAACCAAAAACCTGATTTTTTGAAGAATTTAGTTTTCTACTCCTTAACTCAAATAAGTGAAATTCGATTTAATAAATTTTTTGAGTCAATTCAAGGTAATTACGTCTTGAATTTACTTTAATATATATAATATACGACCTTTTATCATCTACTTCTTCTTCATGTTAGTGCGTCAGAATCGAATTTAAATAAACCGAGTGGACAAATTAAGAATGGCGTGATAGATAACGCGAGCATGAAGGAAGAAAAAAATCGAGGAAAAAAAGATTACACGGAAGATTTCGAGATTGAAACGACCGGAGAAGGGGACATGCTGGAGATGGAGGACGACGAAGCCTGGGAGGGATTGGAGGTTCATTTTATTAATAAGTCGCTGGTGTTTTACCTTACCCCTGTCTATGATTAGCCAGGCTAAAAATAAATATTAGTTTTTTTAGCTTGTATTTGATATAAAAAAAAACTATTATAAGAAAATATAATATCAACCAGAGACCTGCAGAGGTAACATTTGCCTGTCCCGGCCCGGATTTTAAAAATTCCGACCCTACCCGGATTTTAAAAATTCCGACCCTACCCGGATTTTAAAAATTCCGACCCTACCCGGATTTTAAAAATTCCGACCCTACCCGGATTTTAAAAATTCCGACCCTACCCGGATTTTAAAAATTCCGACCCTACCCGGATTTTAAAAATTCCGACTCTACCCGGATTTTAAAAATTCCGACCCTACCCGGATTTTATATTTTTAGGCCGGTCCGGATTATTAAAAATTTCTCAGCCCAGTCTGAATTTTTTTTAAAAATATATCATGTTTATTTATAATTTTTTTATAGTTAAATAATGACTTAAATATTTGATTTCAAAATATATTGCCTGGCCAAAGTATTTCTTTAAGCTCGGCCCGGGTATATTTAAAAATAGGCCAGGGGCAACTTAGTGCCAGGCCTGCATGTATCTGATAACAATCTTATCCATAATTGTTTAATTTTTTTTTTTTAAGGGGTATAAAAAAAAATAAATTATTTGGAAACGTATTTGATTTTTTTTTTTACCCGTTGGAAAGAAAAAAAAATATAATTCGGGCTTTAAAAAAGTATTATTCTAAGAGGTAAAATGAGATTTTTTTTGCTTAATGATCATTTATCTCTGCGATAAGAAAAATTAGGATAAAGCTAATTGTAGCCATTTATTATATTGGGTTTTCATTTTTGCCCTTTTTTTACAATTAAAAACATCGGGCCAAAATCTAAAGTATTTTGGGCCTGACCCCGAAAATGAATAAATGAATTTTTGAAAATTGGGCCTTGCTCGAACCTAAAAAATTTAATTTGCAGGGCTCTACTAAGGTAAATAAATATATATTTACAGTAAAAAAAAACAAAAAAGATATCTAATCTTGTTTTTAAGTTGCCTTTTTTTACAAAAAAAATTATATAAATGTTATTTAACCAGGATTTGAATCTGAATGCCCGTACAGAACTTTTCTTCTCTTCCTTCACCAACAAAGAAGGTCGCCAGATAGATTTCAACGAAAGCGAATCCTGGTCAACTTCTTCCGCCACCAATGACAACCGTGATATCAACCAAAAAAATCCTCGCAAAAGTATCGCTCAATCCCAAAAACATGGGCTGGATAAAACGTTGGACAGTATCTTGAAAGAAGAAGGATTGGGTAGAGACGATCAGGTTTTATTTTTTTTTTAAATATTTAAAATATCTTTTATAATTAGGGTCTTTCATCTTCCCAGACATGATTTTGTATATACGTGTTCTTTGAACATGGGGGATTCATTGGATTGCCGGAGTTTTCAATGTAATTGATGTAGGAAGAACTTGTTGTATCAAACAGAGTTTGGAGATAAATTATCTAATTATTAGCCCACTAAATATTGGTCTCAAAGTCAATTTTTTTTAGGTTAAAAAGCTTGGTCACTAAGTCTTATCGTGGGATGACAATTAAGTGCGCTAACTGCTCTACTAAAATAGGTTGTGATATCGATTTTTTTTTAAAAAAAAAAGATATTTCCCTTCATGTTTTTTGGATTCTATCCTTTACAAATAGTTCAAAAAATGAAATGACGTTTCTGTTTTTTGGATTCAATTCGGTTTTCCGAGAATTGAGGTTTCCGGTAGTAAACGTTGTTAAAAAATAAGTAAATTTGTTTTACCTTTGTTAGCTTCGGGTGTACTCATCTTCTATAGAGAGAAGGGTTCGGGTTTTTAGATGTGTCCCAGTTCAGGTTCCAAACTTCCTGTATTTAAGATCATACCTCTTCGGTATTCGTTAATTACTAATCATTTTATTTTATATATTAATTTAACCCCCCCCCCCTTTCCTCTCCATATTTTAGACATCCTTACTACGTCACAACAAAAATCGCAATATATCCGCGCCGCTGACCGACGGGTCCGATCATTATAACCCCAAAACCTCGAAATTTGATAATGCTCCCAAAAACGTTGCCACCCGTAAAAACCAATTAGTCAAAGATGACCCATGGTCCAGTTGGGCTTTTGATTGACCGAACTGATTGAATTATTTTTAACAATTTAATATTCTTTTTATATGAGGTCATGCATATTACGCGGTTTCTAAAAAGAATATAATATTTATACAATTTTTAAATATAATTTTTTTTAAAAAAAAAATATTTATAATACATTTTCTTATACAATAACCTTTTTTTTTAAAGAAACGTTTCTTAACAAATCATACGATTATGTTACGACTAATAAATATCTTATATTTTAAACATTTCCGAACTTTTACAAAACAATAGAATAGAAAGAAGGAAAGGAAAGGAAGATAGAAAGAAAGAAAAACATTAAAATTTCAATGTATAATTATAAGTTATTGTTATAAATAGCGGCTCTACGGCTATATGAAAAGATATTTCTAAAAAATAAAGGGAATTAAGGATAGATACTCAGAAATTAGGAGGACACATCTCTGTAGAGATCCTTTAGCAGAGGTTAAGCCTCTCACTGGGATCCATTGTGCTTAAGATTACATTTTGCTTTTGCAAAACATTTTATTAATTGATGAGCCTTCTTCCCGAAAATTACCAAGCGTTGGTGATAACCAAGAGTAAGGCAAGGATACACGAACACCTTTACGACTATAGTCTAGAAAATAATAAACGTTTGGTTTGTAAAATAAATGTCAAATCGGTTTGGTTTGAACTTTTATAAACTAGCTTGAACCTTTTTGCGTGCAATCTTATTTAAATTATGCAAGAGAAATTAAAATTAATTTAAACTTAATTTATATAAGTTAAACCGCACCTTTTTTTAAAGGAAATACTAAAGTTTATTTTATTATCCTACCTTATACATGTATACCTATTTGATAAATTTAGATTTACAACTTTAAAAGAAATAAATAGTATTTATTAACTTAATAATATATACCTAAGAAAAATGCAATTAAAACATTTTTAAGATTTCTTTTATCAATTTAGGTCGCAGCTCTAAATCCGCATATACGTGATAAAAACGTTTCGCCTTCTTGTTGTGGATACAACAGATTCAAATCCATCAAACTGGATATTTAGAATGAGGGGGGGGGAATGAGGAGCCATCCACACATTTGTGGACAAGCCGCACGTAACATGTACGCACAATAATGACATGATAAAGTTTCAAAAATGGCGAAAAATTGCTCATAGTAAGATTTAAGTAAATAGAAAACTAAGAAAAAAAAAGGCAATTTCCATAGAGCTTGTAGATAAAATATCCAAGCAGAATAAAAAAAAAAACTTAGTTTACTTTTTTGAATGATGTTGAGATACTATTTTTGAAGAGAAAAAAAAAGAGCAAGCACGATTTTAAATAATAAGAGCCGTCAAAGTAGATACAAGAGAAAAGCCAGCCAGCCAATTTCCATAGTTGTAGATAAATCCAAGAGGAATGAAGATAATAGTTTTTTTTTAAATATTTTGAATGATACTGATTACAAAATACTAATAAAGATATCTGACAAATTTCGAATGATAAAGAATTGGATAAACAAAAAAAAATGGGCTCTAGTGATATTCATAATATTTTTCCAAAAATATTACTGTTTTATAGATTATTAATTTATAATAATTATTCCCTACCTCTTATCGCACACATATTCTAATTTACATTAATATCGATTTCGAATTCTCCTTGCGTTGTATTATCTACCATTTTAAAATTATTATTCACAAAACTCGCAGCAATGTGAGCAGTTCCAATATTAATAAAGGGTCAATCAAAGATGGCTCTAAAATATATCTCTTTATTTCCCTCTTGGATACTTTTATAACTATAACGAAAGAATGCTTCTTGATTAATCCACAGCCCTTACAAATCTGTTAATATTATTGCCGCATAATCCTTTTCTAATCTATTTCTAATATTGATAGAGAAAAAAAAATTAAATATTTGGCTTATTTTAATTGTGAGGATGTGGATTTTAAAGTATACTATGAGGCCTTATCAGCTGAATGCAAACTATGGTATAAAAAGGTGAAATATGGCCGATAATGTCAAATACTTCTCATAATTTCAAATCACATTTTAGACTATTTTCCCAAATAATATTTTGGTAATCTCTACCCATTAGATATTCCACTAATGAAAGAACATTTTTCTTCTTTAACAACAATAAAAAAATATACCTGAGAAGTAGCATTGCTAAATGACTCGATTAGGCCCGATTTTAAAAGGATTAAATCAATATTTTGATCAGAAAAATAGCCGCCTCGAAACTTCGCAATAGAAGTTCAAATCTTTGTGCCCTCTATGGGCAAAATCTTCAAGCTTGGGTAGTATTTTTCTGGATAAAAAAAAATAGGCTTAAATCGAGTTACGAACACCTTAATAGTATAACACCCTTTTTAAAATTTGAAATGCCAAAAAAAAAGAGTCATTATTAACCATTTATTTAATTCGATTTTTAAGATAATAATTAGTAATCACTTTGTTAATCAAATCTAAGAATAAATAAAATCCCGCATATTTAATAAATCACAATTTTAAAAGAACACCTATAATAATATAATATAATCCCAAATTTGTGATACAATAATAAAATTTGAAAATAATAATTAATAATCTAAATTGATTCAATTTGTAAATTTATTTCTAAGTTTTCCTGACTTCTTTTATCTGGTGTTTAGTTCTCTGATAATAAATAAAATAAGTAACTATAAATATGAGAGTTTATGTTTAAAAAAAAACAGACAAGAGAGTTGCTAATGAGCTATTTTCTCTATTATATATATCAACCCAAACCCAATACTCGCCCAAGAGATCAGTTTCAGGAAGATATTAGACCCGGCGGAGAAAAAAAATTAAGAAGCCGGTAGCTTCTGAGATATAATTGCGAGATTTCTTTAGTATTATTTTTCGCCAGCGCCGATATTTTTGTGAAACCGATATTATGGTGTAGGGTAATGGGGTAAAAATTAATTAGGCTTAGACAAAAATCGAATAAAACTAAAAATTAAACATGTCCAAGGAGTTCGACACTAAACATCAGTTAGCGTTGCACAACACTAAGTTTAGCCCTTATTAAAGTTATTTAAAGTTTGTGTTTCGTAATTGATAACAAAATAAAATGGTTCTTTTAATTTGGATTAAAACCGTTGCTAAAAACCTTAAGTCAGAATTTATTGTTGGAATACTTGAGGCAGGCATAAAACTAATATATTCCTTTTATGTCGTTGCCTATCAGACGCGTTGATATGCTATAGTAGTATCTTTGACAAGAGAATTTTATGCCGATATAAGATTAAGTAAGAAAACGGATAATAAGAGAAAAAAAAATTGTGTATGCTGGGATAGTGAGTGAGCATGAAGAATTTAGGAAAGAGATTGATTGTATTTATTATAATTAATTCAAGGGCGTCAATATCACTAGCAAGGTGTTTTGGATGTTAAAGCACTACTCCTTTCAAAATTCAAAATGCACGTGATATTAATGGATGGATATTTATCCGATAGAGATCAAACTTTCCGCCGATGATAGAAGATCGACTTGGTGAGGAGTATTTGGACGCTCCGATTAGTTATTTTATTTATGAGAAATAAATGGTTTAATAGTCATGTTACTGCTTTTCCTGCAACTTAGAATCTACTTATGCGCGATTGGACCATTTTTAAATCCAAGTAATAAATGCGTAGCACTGAATTATTTGCCTAATAAAAGACTATTCTGCCCCGCGACTATCAAATTAAGATGATTCGCTGAGTGTAAGAAATGTTATTTGTTTGTTCTTTTACCTTTTCATATCATTAGTGAATTTGAAACAAATATGAAAACAGGTTGTCATTTTTTTTTAAAAAAAAGGAGAACTGTAAAAAAAAATTTTTGTTAATGATTACCTTTACATGTCTTGAGGACAAAATCAAATTTATGTGTATCGCCGGTCACAACCGCGATGTCATCTAGAGCAGTTATAAATGAGTTGTGATAAGTAGCATCCGCCAATTTTCCAACCTCTGAATTAGAGAAATGAACGTCGGTGCCTCTTTGAACCACTTTATTCTAGGAATAGTTCAAACCACAAAAGAAAATTACGAATTACTTTCTCCAAAACTCACATTAATATTCTCAGTGAAAAATAATATTTTTATAAGCTTAGATCGTAATTCATAAATTACAAAAAAAAAATCTATGTTTTATTATAAAAATCATGATTTCGAAGCATCAAGAATAAATCTTTGCCCAAATACCTTATTATTATATAATAAAACTCAGGAACTAAATGTAGGTAGGAGAAACTTTCTTTCTTTCTTTCTTTCTTTCTTTTCTTTCTTTTTTTCTTTCTTTTTTCAAAGTAAAATTGTCTAGAACTCGTCATTCATATAAACAATTTATAAAATGTTTTATGTTTAGTATAAAAAAAAAAATTTTAAAAAATGATTACAAATAGGCCATCATTGTTAATCAACGTCCTGCATCCTTTATAGACCGCCACTTTACAAAAACGGATGGTAGAAGATGAATTAAGTTTCACCTTTAACTATATAATTTTTTTTGTAGTAAAAACAAAACATATTTTTAAATTAAAAAATAATAAAATATTTATAAAATTAAAGTCTTTAATAAAAGTTATTGATTTCTCATCTTAGTGATAAAAAAAAAAAAACTTTAGATATATGAATAATTTTTAACACCTAAACACTTTTAGAAATGTAAAATCGTCAAAGTGGAAAATTCTCTTAAAATATCTTTCATAAACTAATTTGTTATTCTTAATTTTAATAAAATTTTAAGTATACCTATATTTAAATCTGTATTGCATATGCATACTTGGAATGTAGCAAATTGTTGAAACATAATATTATCCCCCAATTGTTATACTTATCCATCAAATGTAAAAAATTATGTTTAAATAGACTAAAAACATAGGCTTATCTAAGGTTTTTGCCGAGGAGGTGAAATCACTATTGAGTTTTTCCCCTATAAATTTATAAGAGGTCTTCAGTTCACTTAGAGTAAGCTTTTGACCATTTCTTATTTTTACAGAAATAATTTAGGGCTTTCACTCATCATTTATATAAAAATGCTTTTTTTAGATATGGGGGGGGGGGGAGTGTGTTGGAGGAAAGGAGGTGGATTTCTCCTTGTCCCCTCCCCTGACAACGCCCAAGACATAAAAAGATTATATCGTGGTTTTTTAAAAATGTGTAATTCAAATGGGTTATTTGCGAAA